GAACTACTCTCCCCAAACGTCTTGTACCTTCCCATCTCTATGCCTTTTTACACCTGCCTTCCTTAGTTTGGAATGCCCTTCTCCCTGATGGTTGAAATTCTATTTAAGTTCAGTTCAGATGTCACTGTCTGTGTGAAGCCTTCCTCAAGTGACCCAGTTAGAAATAAGTGTATCCCTCCTGCTAGCTTCAGCTCTGTTTATGCTTCATTTTTGGCATTAGCATCAGGGTACACTTGACAGTTATTTGTATGTGTGTGTACGTGTGTGAGAAACATACATATATGTGTTTGTGTCTAGATTATATATACATATACATACATATAGATTATATATACATATATATATATATATATATATATATATATATATATCCTCTCCATTAGATACATTCCTTGAAACCAAAGACCACATTTAACTGATATTTACATCTGCTAGCACCATGCCTTGCTCACAGCTGGCATGAAAAAGAAAAGAACTAAACAGAATAAACATAGTGTGGTTGTAAGCTGCCACATTTCCTTCTATCATCCGTAAGACCTAATGAAAATGCTAGTTAACAATTTTCTTTTCATTCCATGGGGCAGTTAGAATACCCCCAGCTTCCCAGTATGTTCAAAATCACAGCTCCCAAAGGTAACTTGGAGTTCTAAGAGAAGCCAGCTCATAAATGACAGAATGTCTGTTCAGGATGAAGCCTTCTCTAGTGAGGTACGTGCTGACTGAGCAAGTTACACAACCTAGTGTCTCAAATGTCATCATTAGCTATGGATTATCTGGATTTAATTCTGTGTCGTACTATTTTCATATATCAGTGCAGTTTAAGATTTCTCTGGGTTTCAGTACTTAACAATCACATCACATACAGCTCCAGCTGGCTGACCCTTTCCAAGTACTTTTGTATTGCGTAGAAAATATTGAGGCTTATTTCCTTAAACTACAGACTCTGCTGCTCGATGCAAAAAAAATGAATCACAAAAGAGATGACCCAGAGATAATGTAAGTCATCTGTAGTGTGTTAAAGGCTCTCTGCAACTATTAGAATATGGGAGTGGAGGAGGGGAGGGGAGGTCCCAAACTAGCGTAACAATGGTGGTAGTAGGAAAAGTTCTGTCTGACATCCAACTGGACATCACTATCCCAAACATGCAGGGGCTATGTCTGTTTCCAGAGTACTCCCACCAGCCAAGACCCTATAGGTGACTCAGTATATATAAAATACACCCACCACCTCACATTTAGTGATCTACTATATCCTACTCTATTTATGTCTGTGACTTCTGACCATGGCATACTAAAAATTCCTGGCCCTGGAAGTTAAGCAGCCTCCTTTTTTATCCCCTACCCAGAAATACTATTTGGATACCAAGGGAAAGGGTAAAACATTTCTGAATATAGATTCGATTTGGAATAAGATCTGATATATTCACAAGAAATTTAAATTGAAGTCAGATTTAGAAGAGAAGAGACTATCAATCACTTTAGAAAACAGTGAGCAAATACTAAGGGCCCAGAACTAGTATTTCTCACAAAATGGAAACCTTGTCCTATGGAAGTATGTGAATTTTTTCGGTCTTCTGAGTCCCAGAAACAGACAGCCAAGGCTAAGGCACAGAACAAAAAAGCCAAAAAGGCTGTTGGATGAAAGAGATGCTGGCATGCTCCAGAGCTACATGACAGAGCTTTAACCTCCCATGTAAATTTCTAACTCCTGCTCTATTGAAAGCTTTTCTTTCCCTCTGATATACAGTGTATAAGACGTCAAGGGAAAAGGAGAATCTTGAAAAAAAATTGTTTTTTAAAAATCTAAAACACAAACAAAAACCGCTACACCTTGAGAATGGAAAAATAAGGCGAGGTTCAAGGTATTTTTTTAAAGAAAAGGCCAAGTGTACTCAAGGGAAAGCATCTATATAGAAAGGCCTTTCTATAACAAGATCCTTAGAGTTCATGCACCAGGTCATGTTTTAAAGCTAAAACATGGCTCTAACGAAGGTTTACAGTGAAAGCTTTCATTAGGAAAGTGACTGAAAACCCCTAATACTCTTTGAAGAGGTAAAGAAATACAGACCTAATCCTGCACTGTTCCAAGATCCTCAATACATTACATCTCAATAAATGATTAGACATACACTAAACATCATGGGCACACTAATTCCATGCCTACCAAATAAATTTTTTTTGAGGACTAACCTCTTGGAATACAGAATGTGGTTCATTTAAGTAAATAATATTAAAACAAATAGACCAGGGGCTGTCTCTGTGGCTAAGTGGTTAAGTTGGCACACTCTGCTTCAGCGGCCCAGGGTTTCACCAGTTCAGATCTTGGGCGCAGACCTAGCATGGCTCATCAAGCCATGCTGAGGTGGCGTCCCACATTGCACAACTAGAAGGACCTACAACTAGAATATACAACTATGTACTGGGGGGTTTGGGGAGAAGGAAAAAAAAAAGGAAGACTGGCAACAGATGTTAGCTCAGGTGCCAATCTCATAAAAAACAAAAAAAACACAAAGAGAACAAAAAAAGAGATGAACTTTTAGGAAATTTAATGTTGAAGGAAAAAGAATAGTACAGTATTAAGAAAACCAGACAATAGTTTCATTTTAGTTTTTCAGTAAAACAAGCAAACAGTTGCAACATTTTCTGGCTTTTGCAACATTTTCTGGCTTCAGCACCCTAGATGCATGTTATACATATGGCTAAGGAATGTGAGCAGTTGTGAAATTCAGGCTTTGAATTTGCTATTCCCTAATTTAGAATTCCCCAGAGAGAGATGCAACTACCTTCAGAGAAGGTTCTCAAGCTGCCTTGTTTGTAAAGCCTACCCACAAAGTCCACATCCCACACGGCTCCAAAAAACCTGCTGGATTACTGAGAGACAGGAAGTGACCCTGGTGGGTAGGGTTTACAGGCACTCATCCTGAAACTCATGATCATACTTTGAATTACTTATTTTAGTAACGTTTATGAGTACCTAGAAATCTGCAATATACAGAATGAGGGACTAAAATGTCAGACTGCATCAAACCAGCCACACTCACCTTCACCTGTCAGAGCTGGCTTACTTTCTGGTGGTTCACTCACTTCCCTTAGAACTTTTCTTTAATATGATCAACTTTTAGGACTCTATAATACATTGATACAACCTTGAGAAAGAAAGATCATCACCTCCCTTACAAAGTCCTTAGCATATTGCTTTTTCTATAATTCTTAGCAGCATAGGATCACTACTTTATCTATACTTCCCTGACTCTTCAGGACTAGGAAAATGCACTTTATCTAAAAAGAGCCCCACTGAAAGAAAGTTACTCACATTATTTTGGTTGTTGGCATCACTTGGTTTGAACAGAACATTAAAGATGCAGGTAGTCCCTTTATTTTGGATTATTGCTGTTAGGACCTTTAACATAGTCAAGATTTACAGCAAACACAATGGCTTAATCAATTCTCTGTTACAGTGACTTATAGTCACTTATAAGCATCCTTCCATCACTTAGAAAGAGGTGATCTACTCATAATACAAACCAGAAACTTTGGCCTGCTGACAGCATTTAAGGGGTTAAACACTGTATTAAATGTGAAATTTAGTGATTAAGTTGAACTCGAATAACATTCGTTATGTCTCTTGCTAAAAGAAGTTGCCAGATTATTAAAAAGAGCCTGCCATCAAATTCAGATAAACCCATTGCAAAATTCAGCAAGCCAGCCTTGGCTTCCAAAGAACCTAAAAATTCCTCCCTCTTTTCTACTCTTCATTCCTTTTGTACTGATACGATCCCTACTCGTTCACTCCTAGAGAGGGATAATTATGGTCTAATTTCCACTTATCAACTATCCCCTGGAGTAGCAGTGTTAGAATATGAAGCCTTAGATACATAAACCCCACAGAATAACATGAGGATATTTATACACTACTGACATCCAGGTGTCTTAGCCTCTTAAGCTGTGGTTTTCCAACTTTCTTACACCAAGGACTTCGTCTAGTGGTTTGTTATTATTTGTCCTCACTTTCACTCTCCTGTTCCTATGCCCATGACTTCCTCTCCCTCAAGTAATAAGCCACTACCTGAACAACAAGAAAGCAGAAAGAACATCAACAAAGTAACTAAAGAAACAAAAGCTGCCTTGCACAGTAAGACACAGCTGTAGTTTTCACCATAACCCAGTGGTTGTCAACTCTGGTTGCATATTAGAATCACCTTTGGAGCTTTTAAATATCCTGATGCTTAGGCCTCATTCCAAACTTATTATTAAATATGAACCTCTGGGGACAGGACCAGATACCAGTATTTGTTAAAGCTCTCCCAGGAAATTGCAATATGTAGTCAAGTTGAGAACCACTACATTAACTCAGGTCGAGTAGTTTTTTACAACTAGCAGTTTTTGTTTTTAAAGGTTTTTTTATTTTTTCCTTTTTCTCCCCAAAGCCCCCCAGTACATAGCTGTATATTCTTCGTTGTGGGTCCTTCTAGTTGTGGCACGTGGGATGCCGCCTCAGCGTGGTTTGATGAGCAGTGCCATGTCCGCGCCCAGGATCTGAACCAACGAAACACTGGGACGCCTGCAGCCCACACTTGGCCACGGGGCCAGCACCCCCCCCCTTTTTTTAAGATTTTTTTATTCACAACTAGTAGTTTTTTACAACTTTCTAGTTTTTTACATAGAGAACTAACCCCAAATCTTATTTTTCATACAGAATTTCAGAGGACTTTTCAAGAAATTCCTCGACTCTGATCTACTTTAAAATTAGGAAATTCCTTCTCCAGTGAAGGAAGGGAGTAAGGGGTGTTTGTTCTATTTCACTGGTACAGAGAAGAAGGCAGAAGTCCTCTGCATACTCTCACATCTGCTAGGAGCTGCTTCTCCTTCTTTTACAGACAGTAAAATCACAAAGATGAGTTTTGGGTTCCCATTAAGCAGGAGTGACATTAGTCATAGACATGTGATTCCTGCAAGTGCAATGTCAAGGTGTCCTAGGTACCAAAGGTTCCTTCTCCTACCTCCAGCAGGTCTATCATCCTGGTCATCTGAGAGTAGATAAGGACCCTATGTCCTTGAGACTTGAGTCGAGTCAGCAGGACATCAAGGGCATACAGCTTTCCACTGTCAGTGATGAGGCTCTCTTTGCCTAGGGAGAAGAAAAGGGAGGGAGGGGGAAACTGTATTTAATTGAAGCAGCAAAATCACTCACTGCAAAGCTGTATGCAGCCAAAATTACTACAACCAGGATGCTTGTCATCATGAGAGCAGGAAAGTACTCTAAAGAATGCAAAGCACTGTTCAGTCATGATCCAGTAGTGCTCGGGGAAGAAGTATCTGGAAAGAGGGAGGTGTAAGTTCCCTCCCAACTAACAGTTCCCAACCAGACGTCTGCTGCTATGGCACCTGAAAGCTTCCCTGGCTCCTCACCCTTACTCAGGGGATAGCAGCTACAGTGAACATCCAAGAGTGATGTCCATGCATCTGAGTGACATCCATGTGTCTAAGAGTGATGTCCATGTCATATCTACCGCAAGTGACCTGAGAAATCTGTTTTTCCCTTTGCTCACCCTAGCTCTAGATATTTGCTTCTGCTACTCCTGTGGCTAAATGGTTTACCTTCTGAAAGCACAAGAATGTGGAGAAACAAGGGCTGCCCTTGCCTGTTCCTGGAGACAGTTAAACACCAAGAAATGCAAATAAACATACCCCCTCTCTTGCCTTTTTTAAAACCAGAACTCCCTCTCCTGAGTGATTTCAAATTGTCTGGCTGGTAAATGTCACTATCCAAAGCTATAATTCAATAAAGACACTAGGGCTTCTTCAGCTTTTCAGAAAGACTGACTTTAGGTTTCTGTGAAATGGAAGCTGCTTTCACTCACTAACTTGTGCTTTCTCCTTCCTCTTCCTATTAAAAAAAAAAACAACGTATTTCAGCCAGAGATCTTTAAAGAACACTTAACTCACAAATTTTCATCTTATCCATTCAGTATCATTCAACTCCCATCACATTTCAGGAAGTAGAGTTTCCTGTTTGCAGACTGGTCCATAAACACACCCTGAACAATTGCTGCTATTAAGAGGGGAAGAGATGAGGCTTAAGGGGCTGGGAGATTTAAGAGTATATATGGAAGTGGCTGTGGGCCACAAAGACGGAGAAAAAGGCTAGAGATACTACATAGAGAACTAACCACTGAGAGTAAAAAAGAAACTATGAAGAAAAATATACTGTGTATCCTTAGTTTCTGGGTTTGAACCCATGGTTTTCCCTCAGAACTGCAGAGGCTGGGTGTCGAGAGCACTCCAAGAGTTCTCAACAGTCATTTCTCTGTTCTCGCCAGTATTTGCCAAGTGCACAATTATTGTATAAACCAAACAAGAACGGATGTGCTGACAGCACCATAACAAATCATCAGCCACTCTGTTTTTGCTACAAAGCCTCAGGTCCTGGATGTTTACTCCTCTGCACTGCAGCCTGCCTTTTCCCACCTTCGGAACGCTGCCAGGCCAGCTCTCTCCCTCCACCACCCCTCCCTGATGCTGTGGCACACACCTTTGTTCAGCCTCTTTGTTTGGTCCTGTTTACATTACTGAAATGCTCTTCTTTTTGTTGGTCTCCTCACCAGCACAATCAATGACTGCAGCTGGGACAGGACCGGTGGCTAAGCCCTCTCCCTGGCCCCAGACAAGGACGCCTGTATAAGTTCCAAGTCTGACTAGGCAGCAGCACTTCCATAACAACTTCAAGGTTTTCTTCTTGTCACAATTATGCGTCTCTTGTAATTATATTCCCTGGCATCCCTTGATTTTGATAGCTCCTAAACAGTCCCCACAGAGCTACCAATCAGCTTTAGACAGTAAGTTTCTTTCTTTTCTTATTAAAAGCACAGGAAGGTGGAAAAAAAGCAGCCCATATATTTTTCAGTTATTGAGTGAGAGTGGGCAAGCTAATAAGCTCATCAGATTTCTGCAGCCTGTTCTCTTCTCTCTCCATTCACATATACTCCCTCAACACAAATATTTAAGCATACACAAATCTGTCTTGTATCTGAATTTTAAGAAGCTTCAATTCATCTCAAAATCATGGTTCAATGGTTTTCACACGTTCCTGCTTCCCACATCCTACTCTTCTTTGCTAACAGAATGCAGTGATGCTAGGATTCAGAAAGCTCAGAGATGAAGATGTGCATACAGTTAGGAGGACAGAACTCTGATGTGTCTAAAAGAAGCAAGAAGTGGCAGCTGTTGTTAGCTTGTTGTTGTGTAGGTGGGGGAAGTGGAAGTGGATGGACTGGATTTCTTGTCCTGAAGAAAAAGGACTATGAAGAAAGGCACTTCAACAATAGCCTTAAAGCACTTAAGCAATGAACAATATTTCTGCTTCGGTGGTGAGCATGCTAGACAGGGGAAGTCAGCCTCCAGTATTTGTCCTTAGAGAGAGACGCAGAAAAAACAGGTTTCCTTCTCCGTACACACTGATGTCTTCTGAGCCCAGTATCTCTTACCCAATTTTTTGCGAGCTACCGAAGTTGCATCGGACAAGAGCACCACCTGTTGCTAAGCAGGGCATAGAGCCAAGAAGAGCACAATTCCCTAGAAATCAGGCTGATTCTGCCAAGTCAAACCCATGCCCAGCCCCTTCTTTAAAACAGGAGCTCAAAAAATGCTGAAATGAACAGACCTACCCTAGTTTCTTGCAATCTTTCCCACAACCCTACAGTACAATCTTACAACCCTACAGTACAATCTTACAACCCTACAGTACAATCTTACAGTATTTTCACTCAGATACTAGTTCTTACTGAACACAGTGTAGTAAGACCCCGCTCAGAGACAAAATGAATGGCAGTAAAATTAGAGTAACAGATGAAATATTATCTCCTTTTTCCAAGGAGAAAAGGCTTTTGAAGAGATTTTACATCCTTCTCCTAGTGAAACATGGAGACACATTCAAGGTGTAAAATCTAGGAGATTCTGGTCAGTCTCTCAAGGAATATAAAGGAACCAACCCTTCCTGGGGAAACAGAAAATGTAAAAGTATAAAGGAAAGAGAGATAAAATACAGGTTCCAGTGATCACCCCCCCTCAACTCTCCCCCTCACTGCCCAGCCCCAGCCAGTCTACAGAGCACAATGGGGTCAGTGAGGAGCTGGTTAGTTCTCACAGTAAACAGCCAGTGAGGCTGGTGCTTTTTATCGATGCAAAAAGAACTCAGACACTTCCTGCTATTTAAACAAGGTCCATTTTTCTTTCAAAGAACAGGAAAAGCCACAAGAGATTCCCACAGCGCCAGCAATAAGCCTTCTACTCCTGGACTGGGAACTTAGGAGCCAGAATGAAGAAGTGGGAAAGAAGAAATAAGGTGTTGTCTTGCTTCTTTCAAAACTGTGCTCATCTTCTGCCTGGGATTCTGTGGTTTCCACACCTGCTGGCTTCTATTCCTCTATTCCCACTACATTCAGGCTTGCTTTACACGTGGGCTTTTCCCTTGTTTTCCAACAATATACCTTCACCCACTGCTTCCATGTGTTCTCAGTCAGCTATGAGGACATATACAACATTGCTCTCATATACCCAAACAGCATCTTTCAGTTCAAATCAGCCCCAAAGTCACTAAAAGGCTGACCCGAAGTCCCTTGACATCTGACAAAGTTAACGTTAAATGGAAAAACCAGGCCTTAGACCTTGGAATCCAGTTATCTCTTAGAAATAGCAGATTCTCTCTTTTGAATGCTTAGCCCTAGTTCACTTCCATTACAGGCCAATGAGATAAATACAATCAAAGTACCAGAGAATGTGCACAACCAAAACTAACACAGTAGCTCTGAGCTACCGCTCCAGTTTGCCACCAGGTGTAAGTAAAGAACATGAGCCTATGAACCCTGTGTTCTGTTTCCTTAAAAAGAAGTCTCACCAAAGCAAAGATGAAAACCTAATTTCCTTTCAACCTCGACCTTGACCCTAGGAGGTCTGGGAATCTGCTAGCATTTTGGCACAAAACACACTGTTTTTCTTCTGGTTATCATGCAGATCTCTAGTGCTTCGTGTAGAACACTGTTTATGCTACTTAAACTAGGCTTTCTGTGAGTGACGACAATCTCATTCATTCCACTGGCAATAGCACAACTGTACTCACTCGACCTGGAGCCTTTCCTACCAAGTTTATTTCTAACTCACCCTGCCTTGTTTTTTAAAGAATGGCATTCCTTTTTCAGCTGTAAGCTTGTCAAAGGAGAGTATTTAAGCACAAATCTAAAAAACACTTCTCTTTCTATTCAAGTCACAAATTACTTAAGTATTCTTACTTATAAGTTACTATGGGCAAAAGAGGAAAAAGAAACCCCAAGAACGTTGACTTCCAAATATCTGAAACCACCATATGGACTATCTCCCTGGTTCTCCCCTTGCCAAAGCTGGGAACATATTCCACAAGAAGGGAGGACTCACCTGGAATCCTAATGAAAGACCAGCCGTTCTGAGGCCTGATGCTCCACAATCCTCCAGCTGGCTCTGGGAAGAACTGGGATCGTCGATTTAGCCAGTCTGCTGCCAGTTCAGGGGCCCCATTCAACAAACACTGCTTGGCTGCCAGACTCCCTCCTTCCTTCAGCACTCGCCTCTCATATTCTGCACTTCGGTCATTGCAGTAAGAATCCAATGGCACTGCGGTGACCTGTAGTGAAAGATTCACACGAGATGGCTCTTTCACATTTCCATACCCACTGAGCCTTTTGGGAACTTCGACTTTGAGATGAGACTAATGTGGATAATCCTTAGACTACTGCTTTTAACTTCTGTTTTCTGACAAACTAAGCTGTCCCTAATAACTGACTTAATACCTTCCCCAGGTAAAAGGCCAACCTCTAGTAATATGAACCTGCAACAAACTAAAGATCCAAAGAGTGCTGGAGTTTGCAGATAAACTGGGATACCAGGTCAGGAATAATTCTGTCACAGATGTATATATATACACACACGATCACTTTGCCACTTCCTCTCACGGCTATAGTGCTTTGGCAAAGTTCTACTAGCCATACACAGGATGATAAGGCCAGAAAAAGGAGCTGGAGCTAGTTAGTCATCATTAAAGAACTAAGAAGTATTGGTCTGGTGCATTTGAAGCTATTTTTAATGTCTTTGCTGCAAAGCTCCCAAGTTTATCAATACTTCTTTCTCCTCTTCCCTGACCAGGTTGCTGACTGACAAACCTAATGGAAGCTAAGAGAATGTTTCCTTGAGGTCATAAACGGGTTGGGGTAGAGAGAAAGCAATAGCCAGAGAGTAGTAGATTCATTTCTTGGCTAGGGTAAAAGCTATACACAAATTCTTATCTCACCATAAGGTGTAACGACACTCAAAGGCTGCCCCCCAATGGAATAGAAGGCTCCTGCCAATTTAGAAGCATACGCTTCTAAAGCGTAAAGAACAAGGGGATAAAGCGTATGCTTTATCCATCTTTAGTGATCTGGGTCTATTCCCAGTCTAACAAGCAGCTGTCTATTTAGATAGCTGTGAAATCATCGAATAAGGAGCCTGAGGTTACCTTTGGTTAAAATTTGGAGGCTGTGATTATCTGCGAGCCCACGTTGATAAAAATGCTAAAGGAATAAATTATAAGCAGTAAACTGCTCCCAAGAACCTTGGAGCTAGACCACGAGATGGGAAGAAATTAGGTATAAGGAGCAAGAGCAGAGGTATGGGAGAAATCAGAACATAAAACACTGGCTGTACCTAGTTAGGCAGTTCTATTGTTTCTATTGCTTCTCAGAAGTTAGACAGTCAGGAAAATCTCTCTATCTTGCTATTAAGTTTTCTATTTTCATGCTCATCAATCTTTAGGGCAATGGTTGTCAAGTTTTGTTATGCATAAGAACCATCTTGGGAGCTTATCTAAAGTGCAGATTTTGATCCAGAAGGTCTAAGGGTTCTAGCCAATAGTTCTAGGTTTTTAACAAGCACCCCAGCATCCCAAGCCGAGCCTTGAGAAATACTGTCTTGGGGTACATAAACAGTCAGTGAGCTGACTATGGGCTGCAGGTGCCTCTGCTGGAGACTAGAGGATACCAAAACCAGAGAAAGGGCATCATTTACCAATAACCACAGAACACATAACTCTGGCTTGCAGATGAAGCTGAACTAAGTTTGTTAGCGAGCAGTGCCATCTATGGTCCAGAGGTCAAACTACAAAGGGTCACAGAAAGCTGGGTCCCTGGAGCTCCAAAACCCAGTTAGGGTCTCACATAAATCAGATTACCTAGACAGCACTAGGAGCAAGTTTTGGTAATCTCCTGTCACCTTTACTCACACCAAAAGGAATTTGATCTCTTGCTTCCAAGTTATTCATTTTTTCCCACTGAAAGTTGAGCATAGGCAAATAAAGACCAAAATACAAAGCAAACGGATAAAAATTGGGTCCCTCCCTGCTATGGCTTATCCTGGCAGCAGCCCAGCAGATACTGGACTAGAGCAGACGTCCACCATCTTGGGTAGAGTCCCAGAACCTCATAATCAATAGCAGTTATACGTCCATAAAAATGGTTTAAGCAGCAGTAGTCCGGACTACAGATGTATGACCAGTTCTATGTATCTCAAACAGCATGTGCACTCTTGGATGAGTAAAGCATACTCAGGCTTTTCTAATGAGAGACTCATACTGACCAATTTTACACTCAAAGATAACTGCTTTGATGTTTATTTTTCTTTATTTTGTAGAAAAGCAGAACTTGTATTGGAATTATATATAAAGAGTTTGAGCTCATATTCTCAAGATGAGAAATCAAAGCTAGAAACTCAGCATGAAAGAACAAGGGGAGAACAGGGACAGAGAGAGGAGTTTTTTTCCTGCCTGGGACTCATTTCTAGGTACTCTTACAGTTTAAGAACAAAACAACCTTTTCCAGTTATAAACTTTCACCTATTTCTAATTTCATTTTGCTGATATCCTTCCAAGTTCAGGACTGAAAACTAGGAGGTTTGCAAGTCACAGTTCTTAGTGAAATATTTTTTAATGTTTTGATAAGCTTCTTTGGCAGGAGCCCTGGATAAAAATATATGCAGAATCATAGAATGCTATGTTGTAAGTACGTAAGCAGTGAACTCATGAAGTTCAAAAGGAGGCAAACAAGCCCATTTCTACTTAAATCGTGCTTTCCAAGTCAGCTCTATCCTAGACAGCCTCCACCCATTCTGCTAACCACAAGTGGCCTTCCTGATTGCTCAGAAGCAGGGGGAGATGAAGCATGAACCATTCTTCCCTCCCCACAAATGGAAATGCATATTCCTTTTAGTCCCACATGAGCTAACCCCTGTTTTTTGCTTGATTAACTTCCTAAACTATAGTACCTTCAGGGGCTGCCTCTTCAAGCATTCAGCGCGTCCTTCCTGAGGACATGTATATTCCTGCTCCAGCTCTAGGAAGCGTGACCGCTCCAAGCGCTGCCATTTTTTGGTAAGATGAATTCCTGGGGTCTTAAAAGTTTCTTAACCCTGCAGAATTATTTCCTCAGCTAATGAGAAAACAGCTCCAATTTCTTAGTGGCACAGTTCTTCCTGAACTGACCCTAAAGTTTTCATAGCACATGCCAGGGAAATTAATTTGTCTTAACTCAAGGCCAGGGTCGAGGCTTCAAAGGAAACCAGTAACTCCCCACCACAGATGGGTTAGAAATAAATATAAGATAATTAAGGTATCTCATGCAATGTTACCTTATTTACACCCCAGGCCTGATCCGAAAGGTAAGAATTTGTCTATGTGTGTACAAAATATTCAGACATGTTTAAAATCCTTCTTCCTGGGGCTGGCCCTGTGGCCGAGTGGTTAAGTTTGCATGCTGCACTTCAGTCCAGGGTTTCACCAGTTCGGATCCTGGGCATGAACATGGACCGCTCATCAAGCCACGCTGAGGCGGCGTCCCACATGCCACAACTAGAAGAACCAACAACTAAAAATATACAACTGTGTACCGGGGGGCTTTGGAGAGAAAAAGGAAAAATAAAATCTTTAAAAACAAAACAAAAAAATCCCTCCTTCCAGTCCTTATGACAATGGTGTAAACTACCCCCACTTTCAGGTTTAACACATGCTACGTGAAGAAACTCTACAAACAAATGGAGGAGACTGGCTGAGTAGGAAAGGAGGATGCTGAGGAGGATCCCTTCAGCCAAATAATAAAAGCTTTCTCTTGCTTCCTGTCCGCCACCATACCTTCACACTATTATAGTCTTCTTCAAGCTACTATTTATTGTTCTTTAGAGAAACAGCAGAACCAGGCATGATAGTTTAGCCTTCAGGCTCCTCAAAAAACAATACTCAACTAGTACAGTTGGGGTATGCATGTGTGAGTATATTGGGAGAGTGGGGTTGTTCTTCAGAGATGCTGGCTACAGAGCTCTGAGTGGTACAAATGAAGAATTTTTATGTCCATAAAAGCAATTACAGTCCAAGGTAGTTCACTTTTTATTGGATCTATAAAACACTTGGAATATGGGAAGTAAAAATGTCTTGACATCCCTCTCTCAGAAATCTACATTTCCTCTTATTAAGCCTTGGTGTACACATGAGACTAGGTGAGAAGGAAACAAACCATGTAACTATGAAACCTGAAGGTTGCCTTCTATAGAAGGACTTGGCTTTAGATGTTCCCTAAGAAAAGCGCATTTCCCTGCATCAACTTAAGCTTCAAAGACCAAGACTGCTTTGGAAGAACTAGATACACACAAAATCCGAATACTTTCCGGATAGCCAATATAAATCAAAGTTGACAGGGACAAGGGAATCAAGTTCTTGTAGCACAGGACCAACAGAAAGAAATCTAGGCAGGCAAGAGTCAGGGGGACTCAGCACTATCACCTCATTTCTATTCATCATCTTTCTTTGGAATCCCTGTCAGATTCTGACCTTTGATAACTTTATGAAGTCAGAATGCAAGCTGAAAAAATAATGGTAGAAAAATATCACTAAGGAAGATTCCAAAGGCTCCACCTTCTTTGAATAGAACTGTGAAAACAGTAGACTTGCTAGAATGAGTGGAGAAAACAACATAAAAACACAGAAAGCTAGGAAACATCAGCCAGTTAGTCTCCTGGCTAACTGAAAGGTGCCCCTTAGAGCAAAAGGAAACGACAAGCTGGGAAGACAAAAACTTGCTCTTTGCTCTAGCCATGGAGTCTGGCCACCTCTCTGCTCTGTCACTCTCCCTTCATATACTTCTCCATGTCTGGCCTCGATCAGTAAGGACAGGAAAGAGAATGGAAGATGCAAGCAAAGTAACTACCACACTGTGCCAAGGCAAGCCTTTGCAGCGATGCTGTCGGCAATCACCGGAGCGCCCTGTTTTGTTACCCTCTTTATAGCAGGTACTGGGAAGGACCTAACAGCTACTCAAAGTTGAAACCACAATCCAAACTACCCCCAATCTGCAAATAAGACTACAACTGCTGAATGGCAAATACGGTGCAACAGTCACTTTTCAGAGGGAACACACTTGTGAACTGCAGTCCAGGCAGGGCTGCTGAGGAAAGGGAGCGAACACCAGACTAAGAAGTTTCTTCATGCTGGAGTGTAAAGTTTCCTTTTGTTATTGGGAGACCGTACTGAGATGATAAGGCCAGACCAAATCTCCCTCTCAATCTGGCCCCCTCCTCTGAAAACTCTCAAAAACCTCAATGCAGGTGACAAATGGCTCTCTCTCCTTTTCAAATAGTCTGTCTCTGACCCTGCTGCTGGGTGATAATTTACCTGACAGATGGTTTGTTCCCACGGCAGTTTAGAGCTCCTGACTAAATAAGAGGAACCACACAGCAGAGATGCGGTTAGTGAAAATAGCCACTCCTATCTACTATACAACTATTCTCAAAACCAACACAATTCAAAGTGAGAAGTGTTGTCTTGGGAAAGCCAGGACCATGGATGCTCCTTCTAAATACTGAGGATTTATGTGTTTCTCAAGGTCCAAACAACTTAAGACAGTCTGTTGAAGGAATGGATCCCATGAAAATTGGTTTATTTCTTCAAATACCATATATTTTGTGTCTTCCCTCTTGTGGCACTTACTCGTGGACTGGCCACACACAAAAAAGATGGCAGCTCAGTGAGCAGGCAGCAACGAAGTGAGGAGGTAGCTGATCTCCGCTGATGGATGACCTGGTCTGAGTAGCCACTCACTGCTTTACAGTGGCTGCTGAAAACCAGAGACTACAAAACAAAAATGCAAATTAGCGCCACTGACAATTATGTTTGATGTAAGCAAAACGGAAAACATACCACATATTAAACACTTGACTTAAAGACATTCTTCCTAGTGAATATTATTAATTCTAATAAACAATTAACCACTATTTAGAATCAAATGTATAACACAATCAAGGTCCATGCTAATTTCAAAAGGTGGTTTTATTAATGTACCTTAATCAAGTGCCATTCTTAATTCTACCTTTTTTCTGGAGGAGATACTGTTAATTATAGTCACAGCAAAATTTTCATTAGACAAAACATTATGTGTTTATGTAGGGGGAAGTTTGGTTCATTTGTTATACTGTGGATGCAAACTCATGTCTTGAGTTAAAAACAATGACCAACAATAATTCCCTCTTTTTCTTTAAGGCAGATCTGTTTAGCATCACATACGTGTACTAACAGTGCAGTGTAGTTCTAGCAAGTTTAGCTGTTTTACTTTGGTGACATCAATACAATATCTGTTTAGTTCCTCTACCTGACCACCATTTAAAAAATATAAATTCTTCATTTATATTACTGTACCAATACATTTTTAACAGACTTAAAGCTAATGTTAAAGATTTAATTTACAGCCATTCTTATGAAAGACTTTTTCAAGTATGGAATGTTCACACATAAAGCGTTGGTCAGTGGGAGCACAGTGTTCTATATTGCAGATGCAGTGCTTTCTGCAGTGCAATGTTAGACATTTTATCTTCAGATCTTCATTCTTGATGACTTCACTGATTTGTTTTACTGGTATCTCCAGTAAGGTAGGTTGATAACCTAATAACCACACGGATGAAGATAATACACAAGGTAGTCAAATTTATATATTGTTGTAAGGTCAAGAAAACAAACTGCACGATGAACAGCAATCAGGACCCTCTGCAGGAGAATAATAGTTCTAATTCAAGTACCAAAAGCTTCCAGTACCAAATCTCTTCAAGCTTTCCTTGTTCGGTACATATCTTCTCCGGAAGTAAATGGGTTCTTCAGGATCATAGTTTAAGATAAGCCATCTCAAGTTGTCTAGTAGGACATGTGCATCATAGTCTGCTTCCACGAACCAATAAGCATCTTCTAAACAACAGTCATGAACAAACTGAAAGGCTCTAATTGTTTCCAGCAGAGCTGGGCCATCTTCAGTGGTTTTAAATCATACTATGGAAGTCTTTATGACACTTTATTACAACACTGGGCCCATGAAGCTTTGATGTTCTTGACCCTTTTCTCTAGCTGATGAGGTCCCTGTCATTACCCAGCAAAGAATTTTAACCTTCTGATAGAGTTTTTCAATAATATCAGTGTTCTCATCTTTATGTTGGCTAGCATCTGCCTTGAAGTTCATCCACCTCTCCAATGTTTACGTCCATCATCATGTGAATGCCTAGCCTGAGGATCATTATGAAGATTATCAGACTAGGTCTCACTCTGTTCTTCTAATACTGACTACCAAACACCTGGGAACATTACTACAAGAATCCTATTGCTGATGCATAGATGAAGGTAAAAAAATGAGCCAATATTCTTGTTTTCTGAAAGTGTATTTCTTTTTTTTTTTTTTTTTTAAAGATTTTATTTTTTCCTTTTTTTCTCCAAAGCCCCCCAGTACATAGTTGTATATTCTTCGTTGTGGGTCCTTCTAGTGGCGGCATGTGAGACGCTGCCTCAGCGTGGTCTGATGAGCAGTGCCATGTCCGCGCCCAGGATTCGAACCAACGAAACACTGGGCCACCTGCAGCGGAGCACGCGAACTTAACCACTCGACCACGGGGCCAGCCCCCTGAAAGTGTATTTCTGACTATCAGCAGGAGTTCCTCTTGTCCCTCCCAGGGGGAATGGAGAGAAGAGACGACACAAGTTTAGCAATCACTGCTCCTGTCATCCAGCTACAGTAGCAGTTCAGGGCTGCTAGTCGGGTGTCCACTGCCACCCAGGTGGCTGAGATAGCAGCAGTAACTGACCTAAAGACCTATGAATTCTTTACTAATTTCTAAAGAGCTGTAACTAAAGAATATCTCTGTCAGGGATCTCTTAAAGTCACTCTCATTTTAAGCATTCTCAAATGGCAAAATCCAACAGAAGTCTGTTTCTTACCTCATTCTTAGAGTATAAAGGTAAAGGATGAAAAAAACGAACATTCCCCTCAATTATTTTCTCTTCAACACTGTAGTTATTAATAAGAAAGGGATACACCATTCACTGTAGGGAATCCTTTTAACACAGTATGTTATTTGTGATACCTTTCGGGAAAAAAATCTAAAGATAATTCAATTTCTAAGGGTGGTCATTCCCAAATTAGAACATGTTCACTTGTCTTATGTGAGCTTGGTTAAGATGGTATTCTCACTGGGAGTAACTTGTCAGGATGATTTGTAGCTTTCTAATACCGGATTAAAAAAATTAATAATTCACTAGCTCAAAATGCTCAACATACAGTCTTACCTTTGAGAAACCCTGACTACTGCCAGCATATTTTACTCAATCTATTCTTTTCTAGATTATTTTCCCTTAACATTTGTTCCATTAAATCTTCCTTAGTATAGGTGGTCCTTGGTACCACACCACCCACATTCCTTCATATAATGGCATGAACTGCTAGATAGAGAAAAATTTAATGCTTAACACAAAACACAAAGGACATCTTAAATACTATTGAGTAGGATGCTTGGCGGGGTAGGAATAGAAAAGAAGGTTCATAACTTCTTTTGTCTATTTTGGCCTAAAACAAATTAGAAAGAAAAACAGAATGTCACACTATGGGAGATGTGACTTTGTTATAACGTAGTCAAAGATTTTGCTATGCTGTTTTTCCCATCCTCATGCTCTTGAACGTCTTGTTACCCTGTAGGCACTGGCAGCTGTGTGTGTCTTGCTGCCAGCACTAGAATATGCACATAGCAGTGAAGTTAGGCTTTTGCACAGAGTCTTTTGGCACCATACAAAAATCTCAGGAGAAAATAAGTAGGGCAAGATGATAGGCCGCACAGCTGCACACTTCTTGCCACAGTGTAGCACAGAAAACACACAGATGTTCCCCCTCAGATACATACTTATCCATTTAACAAGAGACCAAACTTTGCTATGTCTTGTTTAAAATTAAAAAGAATACTTATGTTAACATCAGGTCTTAATTACTTAGAAATTAACTTCCAGCTTTTGTTCTTAAAGAATACATCAAACTTAGATACACAGCAAAGGTCTCACTGTAAATGAAAGGGCGTAGTGTTTACAGGTCAACTGCAAGGGCACATGGATTCTATTTTCACAGATATTTTAAGTGACCAAACAAAAAGGGGGAAAATAAAATACAGAAAAACCCTGAACACAATGGCTTCCCAGAGCTTTTCACAGGGATGCTGGCAGCTCTCATGAGCTCAGGAAATAATGACAGATACAGATACTGTAGTTGCAAATTAACATGTAGCGGAAGAGTTTTGAAAACTTCCTGTTTGGGGGATTCTTCATCAATAGCTAGTCAAAGCTCTCAAGCATTTAATTGAGAATAGTGTTTAAAACTTAAATACACACTACTCTTTTCAAAACTTTTTTTTGGTTTTTGGTGAGGAAGATTGGCCCTGAGCTAACACCTGTTGTCAATCTTCCTCTTTTTGTTTGAGGAAGATTGTCACTGAGCTAACATCTGTGCCAATCTTCTCTATTTTATGCGGGATGTCGCCACCGTATGGCTTGATGAGTGGTGCTAGGTCCGTGCCCAGGATCCAAACCTGCAAACCCAGGCCACTGAAGCAGAGTGCACAAACTTAACCACTATGCCACCAGACAGGCCATCAAAACAATTCTTTATCTTCAGATCCTTCTGTGTATTTTCAATCGCAAAATCTGAAATGCCTCCAATTTCTATAAGCTAGCTGGCTCACTAAGAGTTGTAGAGTATATAAAGCTTTCAACACATATGATGCCCAAGTAGACCATTACCATGACAACAGTTTCATTGTGCCTGAGACTGGAGATAGAATCAATGCTGGTACTCTGTGTCTGCCAATCATCATTTTTAACATGACATTTAACTGGACATAGTATAAAATCTGTTCTGCCTCCCCAAAAGATGACTAAATGATATACTTCTTAGAGATTTTGGGCTTTGCCCCTATTCTTTTAAGCAAAACAAGATTGAAAAGAAAAAAACAGACTCCTCTGTGAAACCTGCACTCTAACTAGCAAAACTGTACAAGAAAGGAGCTCTGGCCAGAGCCCACGGTGGGGAGGGAGGTGTGTGAGAACGAATTTATGAAAGTTTTCAACTAAATACTATTCCTTCTTGAAATTCTCACCAGTAAAGCAAGATGGAGCATGGTGAAATTAAGTGGAACACCAGGAACCATGGTGGCTTTTGCTCTACCAGCATCACAAGAGAAGAAAATATGAGACAACATTCCACATCAAGAAAGAGATTTTAAAAGGCCCTAAACTTCGTTCAAAACACCCCAAAGTGTCATCTGATCTGTGTCCTTAGCCTAGTTCTTGGTTCCTTCATGTTTATGTATCATCCCAAAGCCAGTATTATAAGAATAATACTTCCTTGAACTCTTAACACAGAATTCAAATTTACTATTTACCGCAGGGTGAGAACAAGGGTTTCACAGGCACATTGGGGGAAACAAACAGAGTTTCTCTCTGCCCAGATTCACTCACATCCATGGAGGAAAGGAAGAAGGGAGGATGGGGTCAGATTGCTGAATACGACTCAGGTAGCACGTGGTCTGAGATAGTTTACCAAGAACAAGATGGCAACATGGAGCTAAGTCAATGCATACTATCTGTCTCCTCAGAGGAATAATAACAAAGTCTTTTACCTTGATCTGATGATAGGAAGCTGTATTTAGGAGACAGGCGCTGGAATAATACCTACTCATCTTTATAAAACAAATGAAGGCACGGAAGAGAACAGAATAAAGGATTTTCTGCATTAAGAGGACAAAGTTGAATACGGGAAAATTAACTGAAAGCTACTTTGGTAGCTCCAAAGGAATTTTATTGGAAATTATTATTTGAATAGTACAAGAGAAAGAATCCTGACACTCACTTCCAATGTTAGCATTTTCCCCTGTGTCTTCTCTCAGGTCTGTCTACTTAAGAATAACCCCAAATTTCATTATTAAGACTGACTTTGAACATGGAATCTGGATTCAATTCAGATATTCTTTCATTAAAACTCTGAAATAAAATTTGTGTTTATGTTGCTATTAAAAAAGGGCCGCTCCATTTCCTAGTACCACAAAAGAAAGCAGAACAAGGAGGTGGAGAAACAGCATCTCTTCAGTATTACGTTTATGAATAATCAAAATTACATAATCAGAACTAAGTTGGAAAACCAAATGAAAATGCAAGATATAGAATAGAACAGAGCTTGCAATGAAAAAAAATTTGCTCACAAGGAGTTAGGGCTTATAAGCAACAAATTCCTGTTGAATTTGAAAGCCAGATATTATACTGTATTTAACATCTTCCCCAGCAGACATTTGCTGTGGCTAATAAAACTGAACAGACGGGTGACATGGAGAGCAGGGAGAGACACCAACATCCTTTCCAGTTTAAGAACTTTCATGGTGTCACAGTCAGAACCATCTATAGCCTAAGCCAAGATCTCACAACAGGGAATACCAAAACAAACTTTATAATCAAGTAACTAATATAAAAGCATCAGCCCAACAGTAAGGGGCTGTGGTCATTTTAAGATATGTCCACAAATTCTGATACTCTCACTTCAAAAGGTAAGACCCTAATTCCCCCTCCCCTTGAGTGTGGGCCAGACTTAACAACTCCCAAAACCAGGTCACAAAAGGCATTGTGGCTCCTCTTTGCTAGCTCTCTCTTAAATAACTCACTCTGGGAAAGCCAGCTGCCATGCCATAAGGACACTCAAGCAGCCAGCCCCATGGAAAAGTCCACAAAGCAAAGAACTGAGGTCTCCAGCCAACAGCCAGCACCGACTTGTCAGGCATGTAAGTAAATTACCTGGAAGCAGATCCTACGGCTCCAGTTGATTTTCTGAGCCAGAACCACCTACCTAAGCTGCTCCCAAATTCCTAACCAACAGAAACTGTGAGATATTAAATGTTTATTGTTTTAACATGCTCAGTTTTGGAGCAATTTGTTATATGGGCATAGATAACTACTATAGGGGCTAACATCCACAATGGACCCTTTCTGCAATTACTCTTGAGATTTCTAAACATTAGCTTCTTTCTGCTGGCATTCCTCACTCCAAGAAACGCCTCTAGTTCTCAGCTCAAATGCAGGGCAAAAATAACTGATGTACAATAAAATCAAGGAATAATCAAACAAGTTACCAATCCCACCCACGTTTCCCAACCTCCATGGACAAGTTAAAACTCTTCACAAAATTCTGTTTTAAATACTGAATAAGATTATACTTATAATTTTAGGCTGAAGGACATTCCCTCAGATGAGAATAGGCAAAGTTCTAAAGGGAAAACTAACACTAATACAATGTACCAACACTCACTAAGTCATTCAACAAACACTTATTTAACCTTATTTTAGGCAAAGTGCCTAAAATAACCAAGGCTACAAGGACAAGAAGGACTATATAAAATTTCCAAACATCCAAATCATGTTCTCACTTGGAGGATAAAATAGAATGAAGAGGAAAAAAAATGACAGAACTGCTTAATAGCACTTTTTTTTCATGTTAAGTTTAGTTTTGGTCTTTCCGGGCATTATAAAATATTCTTTGTCGTAGGCAAGGATCTTTCTGTTAATTACAGAGCTCCTACCACTATTCATCCGAGTTTCTACCATATAAAAAGAGCAGTTAACCACTTTCCGCATCTCTATCATCTCTCTTGCATGTTCAATTTCCCCCTTTGTTGCCTTCTTCCTTTTCAGTCTTCAAAGCCGAGTCTCCTCTCTCTTACAAACTCAACTGTGGCTTAAATGCAACTATCCCTCCTGAAATATGTTCCTATTCTTCTTTTTAACTGTCATACTTCATTACCCACTCTTACCACTTCCTAACCAGAATCTGTCCCCTGTAAATCCTTGCACCTGGGCCTTCTCTGTTCTCCCTGCACTCATAACATCAAAGAGTTCCTAATCTCATTCCTAAGTGTTTGCTTTACACTTGCTATCGAATTTGCCGTTCCCTCTGAATCCTCTCTTGAATTCTGGGTTTTGGAAATGATTGCTCCACTGCCAACGCTCACCATATCCAAATCAATCAGAGTCCCTTGACCCTTTCTTTATAACCTTTTGGTTATAACCATTTCTGTTGGGTCCCAGTACCTGATACTTGGAACTTTTGCTTAATATCCTCCTTAACGTGGACCCCTGTGTCTAATCTTTCCTCATATCATACTCTGAGATTAATCTTCATCAAATACCAATGGCAGAGATCCCTACTGGAGTGCTGTAATGACCTGAGTGATTTAGTGGCCTTCCTGAAGCCATTTACCAGATAACTCCTTCCCATGGCTTGACAGTAGCCACTAAAACTTTATTCCCCCAGGACTAGCATCTGTTGAAGAAAGTAAGCCAAAAAAGGGCTGAGACTTCTGATTTAATATCTGAACCCTAATAGACTGGCATTCAAAGATTCCCACACCTTACCTTTCTGGCCCCTTTTCTCACGCTGTCCTTTATTTTGCCTCAAATCTTTAACTTGGAATATCCTTCCTCCTATCTAGATACCTACCACTCAAGAGCCAGCTTAAACAATATCATTTCTGTAAAGACTTTTTTGCCCATTTCAACCTAAAGTGATCTCCCATTCTGAACTTTACCACTAATCATCTACCATTAATCTGACAGTTAGTTATGTCTTCTTTCAACTCTTATCCTGAATCACTTTTATTTTTAAAGTCTTTTTAAGTTTGTATATGCATGAATGATTTTTCAAACCAGAAAACAGGGACCATGACCGTTAACACACCTTGCCCAGAGTAGACACTGGTGCATGACAGGTTTGTAAACATTAATTACATGTGCCTTCTCTCTGCAGGAGTAGACTGACATTTGGAGGAGGCTATTCTGAAGGCAGCCTGGACCAGAGGAAAAAAGGAGAATTAGACACAACATTCAACCATTAAGCAGGACCACATTTTGCCACTGGAGATTCATTCAATCGATAAGCTGTTCTGACATACATCAATGTGCCCATTCACCCAATCCCACTGACACTTGAGATCAAACAACTGAAAACAGCGTAAGAGTGAAGCATATGTGAAAAAAAAGGGAGTACTTTCTCCAGCTAATATTGGGTCCTCCCCTCTATCACCATTCCTTACTAGATTAGGCTTCAATTTACCATCCAGATCAGTGGTCTCCAAAGAAAGCAAATGCAAATTTCACAATGTAAATAACATTAATATGTTAGTACATGTATATCATTTTAAAGGAAATAATACATTGGTACTGGTGACATGGATTAAGAATGTTTTAATAACGGGGACATAATCAAAAAACATTTGGGGACCACTGGCCTACACTATTCATATTGCTGATAAGAAGTTTAAAATAAGATTTATAAGCTGAATCTAACATTTACATGAAAATGCCAAGGCCCAAGAATTGTCAAGGCAATATTGAAGAAAACAAAGGTAGAGGACTATGCTACTAGTTATCAAGAATTATTATGAAGCTATAGCTATTAATATAGGGTGGTGCTGGCTCAAGGACAGACAAATGGACTAATGGAACAGAAGAGAGCCCAGAAACAGACCTACACATATGCAGGCACCTGTTCAACAAAAGTGACGCTGCAGTGCAGTAAGGATGGTCTCTTTAATAAATGGAGTTGAGTCAAGTGGATATGGATATCTATATGCAAAAAAAATGACAAAAAACCCGAATTCCTTGTGTAAATCTGAAGGCAAAAGGAAAATAAAAAAACTTTTTGAAGAAAGATACAGATTATCTTCACGACCTTGGTATAGGCAAATATTTACTCAACAGGACACAAAAAATGTTAACTACTTAACAAAAGACACCACTGAGAGCAAAAAACAAAGCTACAGAGTAAAAGATGTCTGCAATACATAAAGAACTACAAATCACTAAGAAAAATACAGACAGCCTAATAGAAAAATAAGCAGAGGTGTTGAATAGGCATTTCATAAAGGAGGTTATCCAAATGGCCAATAAGCATTAGAAAAGGTTATTCATATCGTTATTCATAAGGCAAATGTAATTTAAAGCCACAATGAGATACCACACAGAAGGGCTAAAATGAACAGGAAACAACATCACATTCTGGAAAGGACATGAAGCAACTAAAACCTCTTGCACACTGTTAATGGGAGTGAAAAGTGGCGCAATTGCTTTAGAAAATTGTTTGGCATTATCTATTAATGACGACCATATGCATACCCTTTGGCCCAGTAATTTGACTACTAGATATACACCCTAAAAATGCACATGAATTTTCACCCAAAGGAGTGTAATGTTCATAGCAGCACTATTTGTAATAACAAAAGCTAGAAACCACCCAAGCATTTGCCTGCAGTAACTCTTGTGGGGAGGGCAGTGCAGAGGAACAGTGAATGGAAGTGGGCATGAAGGGGCTTCTGAAGTAGAGTTCTGGTAGTGTTTTGTGAAGTTATCAAGCTGTATGTACACTTATTATTTGTGCACTTTCTTATATGCATGTTAATATCTCTAGAAGGACAGTCAAGGCAACAAGAAAAAAGGCTTAAAATTTTTAACATATCATACCTATTACTTCTCCCTGTCTCTCTAATCTACCTGGCCTGTTTATCTGCTAAAGGAAAACAAATGGTCATCTTTTCAGAATCAAGTTAGCTGCTTAGAATCATGAGTTCAAATAGTTACTAATTAATTTCGTTAGAAAAAAATGTTTTTAGGGGCCAGCACGGTGGCGCAGCGGTTAAATTCACATGTTCTGCTTTGGTGTCCCTGAGTTCACTGGTTTGGATCCCAGATGCAGAGCTACGCACTGCTTGGCAAGCCATGCTGTGGCAGGCGTCCCACATATAAAGTAGAGGAAGATGGGCACGGATGTTAACTCAGGACCAGTCTTCCCCAGCAAAATGAGGAGGATTGGTGGCAGATGTTAGCTCAGGGCTACTCTTTCTCAAAAAAAAAAAAGAAAAAAATGTTTTTAAACCTCCCTAATAACTTAGTTAGGGGTACTGGTTATCACTTTCGAGTTGTCTTCCTACACCCTCAAGCTTTAAAAATGGACCCCACATTTATATGTTGGTCCTTTTCTAATCTTTCAAGACTTTTCTTGTTCTACCTGAGTTTCTAATTCACCATAGGAACTACAGAAAATACCTCTCGAGTTATATTTTCAGGACATTTGCTGAAAATAGTTGTAAGTCTGTTTTCTCTGAAAATAAAAAATTTTCTAATTCCACAGTAGTAGGATTCCTATTTAAGCAGAGGTCTTTCACAGGATTTGTAAACTGTATTAACAACGCCAGAAGTATTTTTGCAGACAATGACAGCAAGCAAGTCACATCAGGAATGAAAGACACAAAGCACACACGATGAATTTATCCCATAAAAAGCAACAAAAAGAAACCAAGACCTTGTTTTTAAAACTAAGCGACAAATTCAAACATCAGCACAAAAGATAATTATTACATTTAAGTCTCAGCACTCCTGTCCATATTTGATGAGTTATCTTTTTTAAGAAAGACTCATTTTTTTCAATCATGTTTTTTAAAAAAACTGAAAACTGGCAGGATCAGAGTAGATTATGAAATTTGGAAGTGTGGTTTTGACGTATGTATGTATGCTAAAATATCATGCATCTTAAGTTTTAACATTAACTTTATTCTCAATTAATGAATTTTGCTTATCTGTTCTAAAGGATTAGGTGTCCAAAATTTCCTTCTCTTTTTTGCAAAACAGACAAAACACCAAAGTTCTCTAGAGACATGTTTCTTGAATAAGGAAAACTCAGTTCAGAGAAACCAGTGTGAGAAACAGCATGATAGTACTGATAGGCATATTCTAACAAAGCTGTTCTGGGGGATAGTTGTCCCCATAATAAATTACTTCGCTCAAGTTTGAATCAGTTGGTTCTTTCAAAATTATTTATTTGTAACTATCTTTAAATACCGGGGATATAACAGGTACATAGCAGAAACTGAGACACAGATAGACCTAGTTGCTAACTACATGTCAGGGTAACTGCAATGCAATGTGAATACTGCTCTCTGAGGGACTTCTAGTCTTCTCTTTCATATTCAGAAAGCGAGATTCTGTCTTAAGTCCCAAAATGTCAGTTTCTTTCCTTTCTTACTATTAAAAAGAATGATCCAGAATCTTCTACATTGTGACTCTCTTTATCTAGTCCTCTGGCTATTTTAATATTGTGCATTCGTCCAGTGCTTTGTATTTTTCAAACTGTGAATAGTAAGGGTCATGAAATTAATTTTCAGTAGGTTCCAACTAACATTAAAAAAATAATCATAGGGGTCGGCCCCGTGGCCAAGTGGTTAAGTTCATGCACTCCACTTCGGTGGCCCAGGGTTTCATCCGTTTGGATCCTGGGCACAGACATGGCACCGTTCATCAAGTCATGCTGAGGTGGCGTCCCACACAACACAACCAGAAGGATCTACAACTAGAATATACAACTACGTACTTGGGGGCTTTGGGGAGAAGAAGAAGAAGAAAAAAAAAAGATCGGCAACAGATGGTTAGCTCAGGTGCCAATCTTTAAAGAAAAATAAAATAAAATAGTCGTAAAAGAAAAAATCGGGGTGTGCTTATATGAGGTTAAGTGTTGTTTTGTAAATACTTTGTTTTAAAAGTTTATGTACGTGTATGTAATATTTGGTATGTCTACACACATACAGATGGTGATGTAAAATATTCTTGACCTGAGTCATGATCACACTTCAAAAGTCACAAATACAATGGGCTTTGTTATATTTTTATTAACTGTTACACAGGGAGCTTCAACAAAATAATTCTTTATTCAGAACCTGGGCTAACCTTTAAGGCTAGATACCATATAAAGATCATTCTGCTTAGTTGAAAGCAGAGATTTCTTAGAATAGATAGATAATAAACTCTGGCAAAATACATTGCCTAGCTGCTATCTCAGTATATGTAAGTTGGAGATAAGGATAATAAGACCAAAAGCAGAACAGTGTCTCTAAACATGTATGATTAGCTTTCAGCTACCTATGGCCCACTGGCTCAATAACTCAGGGTACATTCTAAGCCACTACAAAAGTAAATGTCTATCCACAACACAAAACAAAATTAAAGAAGAGGAAATGGAAGTGAATCTAACTTCTATTAGGTAAACTTGAAGATTTCACTGCCAATTTCCCATAAAGCACACTGTCCACATCTGCATTTCTCAGGAAATTCATTAATTCATACAAGGATGTCACTGATTAGTTGCTCTGAATTTTCAGAAACAGAAGAATACAAATAAATGATGCACATCTTTGAGTGTTAAGTAAGATGCAGGTGTCTACACAATAGGGCATAATAAACCCTTGGGAGGATGGTACTTTCTGTACCAAAAATAAAAGTGGTAAATTCCTAACTGTATTAACATACATTACTAAGTGGTCTATAGGAGATTAAGCAACTCTTCATCAGGAATGTCAATATTTCACTAGTAGGAAGTCACCCTGCCACCAGTCACTACATTATTCCAAATATGTTGGAACCCAATTCTATTCTCCTTTTGTATTACTGATCTCATCTCCAGAATCCAAAAAAGTACAAGGAGCAAAGCTTGAGAAACCAACTGGGAAAATCGAAAAGGAGGAAACCATATAGGCTCTTCAGTGTACCAGGGACAAACACTAGATCCAGCCGAAGAGCAGCCTGCATTCAATAGTAGTTAACCATAAGACTAAGGAGTCATTCAATTTTCTAGGGGATGCAAGGAAAATGTCCTTCCTTCTAAATTTTTAATCCAGTTAAAGGATGATAATAAATAAACATACAAATCTCTTCTCAAAACTCTCCAGCATTACCCATTTCATTTGAATAAACTTATAATGCTTAGCAACAACTTATGAGGCCCATATGATCTGGACCTACCTCTAAAACCTTATTTCCTGTCACTTTCCCCCTCACCTACTCTACAATGGCCAACGATTATATGAAAAAGTGCTCAACATCATTACTTTTCAGGGAAATGCAATTTAAAATCACTATGAGATACCACTACAAATTCAAAGAAATGGAATATACATATACGTGATGATGCAAGAATCTCATTCCTGGATCTAAACCACAAAGAAATTAGTATTTATGTTCATCAAAACACATGTACAAGAATGTGCATAGCACTTTTATTCATAACAGTCTCAAACAACAAGCAACCTAAATATCACCAATAGTAGAACAGATTAATAAATTGTGGTATTCACACAATGGAACACTTCATAGCATTAAAAAAGAATGCTATAATGCAACATGGATGAATCTCAGATATAATATTGAGAAAGAAATCAGACATAAGAGTCCATACTGGAAAATTCCATTTACATAAAGTTCAAAAACAGGAAAAAATAATCTGTGATGATAGAAGCAGAACAGTGATTACCTTTATTTGTTGGTTTGTTCTAACTAGAGGCATTAAATGAGAAGAAGCATGAGGGAGACTTCTGGGTGTTGGAAATGTTCTATACTTTAATCTAGGTAGTTGTTACACAAGTACATACAGATGTAAAAACTTAGAGGGTTGTACAATTACGATCTGTGTACTTTACAATAAAGTTATAAGCAGTATATATATTAAATACATATACATACACACATATAATTATATACATACAAAACACGTTTATTAAATATAGTAAGTCATAACAATACCCTGCTCCACTCCTGTGAGAACTTTTCGGCTCTTTTAGGCTATCATTTACTTTACTATTACTTTTACTGATTCAAAGAAAAGGGAAGACAGTACTACATGGGTAACTGGTGCTGAAATAATTGCTTACCTTTAACAAAGGGCAGCTGCAAAGGTTGGGAAAGGAGAGTGGAAAATTAACCCCAAGAAGGAAATCCTTGTTCCTCAGGTATCTCTGCTGGCTCTCCCCTTCTGGCTCTCCCCAGCAGCGCAGCTGATGGAGCCTGTAGGAGGCTTTCAGAGACAGGAAAAGAGCTAACCATCTGAAACAAACCACAGCAGACATGCTTATTCAGTGCTCCATGGCGGTTTGAGGGTAGTTCATAGCAGCGAGGAACCTTCTCTCTCCTTATCATGTTTCTTTTGTAAATCTTGAGCGTTTTAGAAGCAGTTCTTTCCTACTTGCAGATAAAGCTGTTTCATACTTTTGTTCTATAAATTCTACCTTTGGCATGACTTGGTTTGCTAATATGAAAACTAAAATCCTCCGTAAAGCTCCTCTTAGTGTTAAGAATGTTCAACTCTATCACAGAAACTATCATAAAAATATCCTCATATTAGGGAGACAGCCTTTCCTAATGAGGTCACTATCTATTACATAAATACAAAGTAATAAAATAAGTGAAAGCCATTATTCCAAAGAAAAGGAACATAGAACTAAGTTTCCCAGAACACTTAAGGTGGGCTATGCTGCAGTCACTACTAACTAAAAGAATCATCAGCCATCACTCGCCCTGTAGAAGAAAAGAGAACATGGCACTCTAACTAGAAATTAAGAAAACTTGAAGACTTTCTGGTAGCATTTGGGAGAAGAACCTAGTTTTTATTTAACGTATATCATGAAGAATCATGCAATTATTAAATTACCAAAACTGTTATTCCCTTATAAAATTTTTATTTTTAATTAATAGGAAAAGAATGAGAGGCTAAGATGATATAATATTAAATATTTAATTTCACAGTATTTAACCTTTGTCCCTGTTTATTTCCAACTGCTCTCTCATCAAACAGTGAACAAACTTCTCACCTGGCCAAAAGTCCCTGAAGCATGAGGTTTGCCATTTCTGCTGGAGATACATCAATAAAGCGAAGGAAAGAGAAACAGCTTTCTTCATTAACACCTGGAATATCAAAGGATAAAGTTAAACCTAGTAGCAAGCCAAGAGACAATACTCAACTAAAGCTTGCTGAACTGCTGACTTTTGACTTAAAAATCAAAAGATATTCTAAAGGTTCCAATCCAGCCACTTTGATGGAAGTCCTATTCTTGTACTACAATCACAAGTACAAGAGGCAGACCTATAAGATATGGCATATATGGGCCAGAGTGGAGCTGGCTCATCAGTTACCTTTCGGGTTTTGGGATCCTTGGCTAACTGCCTTTCTTTTTATCATGCCAGGAAAAAGAAAAGGAAAGGAATGGACAGAGGCGAAAGATTCTGAACCTTTGCCTTAATGCTTTTGACAATGCTCAAAATTCAGCAGTTTCTTTTCCTTAGACTAAGGAGGGGGGAACTGACTAAGTCACATTAATAAGAATCCTGCATTATTCTCTCTGTCAAGTTTCAAGGGTGTAAGAAATTCTTAAGAGGTGCGTATAAAACAAAGATGGAAGGTCAATGTAATAAGTTTTAATTGCTTCCTGTTATAGCCACAAACCATAGCATCTATAGATGAAGACAACTAATATACTTAAATCTTATCAAGATTTTATAAATAAAGGCTTAGCATGCAGGCAAAATCACTACTAGTTCCAAATCAGTCACTCAGCAAAATAAACAGGACCCTGGTAAACTCTTGGCATACTTTCCTTCCCAAAGATCAAAACACTTACCTTTTCTGTGAAAGAGAGACTCTTGGATGTAGTCTGGTGCAAATGGAGAAAGAAGAACCCTTAACCACCTGTAAAGTAAGTAGAAAAAATAAATCCAAACCCAAATATAAATATTGGGAAGCTAACTAGACTGGAGGTTCCAAACTAAAGAAAATCTTTTAGGTTTAAAACTGTTTCTAACAACTTTTTTTTTTTTTTTTTTAAAGATTGGCACGTGAGCCAACATCTGTTGCCAATCTTTTTTTTCCCCTTCTCCCCAAAGCCCCCCAGTACATAGTCATATATTCTAATTGTAGATCCTTCTAGTTGTGCTATGTGGGACACCACCTCAGCATGGCCTGATGAGCAGTGCCAGGCGCACACTGAGGATCCGAACTGGCGAAACCCTGGACCGCCAAAGCGAAGCGTGCAAATTTAACCACTTGGCTGCAGGGCCAGCCCCAAAACTGTTTCTTCTTTTAAGAAAGTTTGTTGCCATATCACCGGGCAAAAATCACAGCATAAATGTCAGGAAGTACTAAATACTTAAAGGCATAAGAAGATAACGCAAGTTCAAAGTAGTCTCATTTTATTTTAGAGAATCATAATTCTAGCACTGTAAGTTACCATATACTATATTACACAAAACAACGCTACAGCTCTGGTCTGTTTCCCCCTGCCCATGTAGTTAGTATTAGCCTGGAGCTATCACAGACAAAGAATTCTTAAAATTAAGCCCAAGAAATGTGTTTCAATTTCAGTTTTATTATACTAAATATTATTGACGATTATTTTGATAATACTGTTTATATTGTTTCACTACAGAAGGAACTTTCTAAATTCATGGTTTTCAAATGTGGATGTGCATAAGAATCCTTTGGGAGCTTGTTAAAAAATACAGAAGCTAGGGCCACCCTCACTCACAGGAGTAGAATGGACCTACACATCTATTTTCTGAATGCAAGTGGTCACTAGCATATTATCATTAACAACTACTTCACCTTTACTGATTCTGGGAAGAAGGTAAATTTGATTAATTTGAAATCCAATCAGTTCTCCAACAAGTGCCATTCCAAGTGTAAAATAAGCCACCATAGAGCAACTCCAGTACTGGGGCAGGGACATCTGCTGATCTCTCTTGCTGCAAGTACACATTTGCACACAGGTGCACACTACTCAATTCAGAAAGGAAGGGGCTGGCCTTGTGGCGTAGTGGTTAAGTTCGGCATGCTGTGCTTCAGTGGCCTGGGTTCACAGGTTCAGATTCCAGGCGTAGACCTACACCACTCACCAGCTGTGCTGGGGCAGTGACCCACATGTAAAGTGGAGGAAAACTGGCACAGAAGTTAGCTCAGAACTAATCTTCCTCAAGCATAAAAAAAAACTCACAAAGGACAACAGAAGGGGCTAGGGCCTTTAAGGTCATCCAGTTATACCCCTGATAAACCACAAGATCCCTTAACAAATAGTTGTCCACCCTTTGCTTAAATACCTCACTGTTGGAGAACTCAAACATTTTCCACTAAATTTATTTACTAAGCCACATATCCCCAAATTACAAAAACACTCCCAGAGTAAAACAAGTATCACTATTTGCTCACCTGTCCCGTGAATGATTGAAGACCCTGATCTGTCCATGACGGTATATAAACTTTGAAATCTGGTATGGCTTTAGGGAAATATGAAATGGAGACCAAGTTTCTTGTCGTTCAAATAACTCTGGGTGATTACATACCTAAGAGGAAGGGAAATGATAAGACAACATTGTCCTGTGCAGACATTGCTCTATGAAATGATGGGGGATCCCAAACCATGAAAGTTTACCTTTGTAAATATATACTTTCCCACTTTCATCTCTTTTTAACAGACTTTGTTTATCTGGAATCAAGGCTAGAGCCTTTTTCTTGAAATGAATTAATAAAGATAACTCCAAGGCAGCTGATCTAAGCTCTTACCTTCCTAAATTGCATGACCAGATTCATGAGGCTGCTGGTGGTGGTCTGTGCTTGCTGGGTAGAGCCCATAGAAGACTGCAATAAATCCTCAATGGAAATTTTGTTTTTTAGTGCCTGATATAGCAGCTTCTGTCGGCTGGTCAGTTGGCAATACATTAGAATCTCAATCTAAAAATCAATTAAGAACATTTATACTTCGAAAAACAGTTTTTAAGAATAGTCACTATCAGCATAAGGTTGAAAACATACACAAGCCAGATTATGATTGAAAAAACAAAATACACACCTCTAGAAACTCAATAGCTCTATAAACCTGTGATGTGGCTAATTATCCAGAAAAATGTTCTTTCCTTGACTTTCTTCCCTTGTCACTCACTCTACATGCTGTCCCTGGGCAATCTGTTCCATTTCCAATAGCACCAACTACCATCTATCACAGTAACTTGCAAAAATACATTCCCAAACATCCCCAGTCCCATATTTTCAACTACCTACAATAACAGTACCACTCAGAGAGTCTACAGCAATTGCCTATGTGACATATCAGGAAAAAAATTATCTTTTCCACAATTTACTAAATTGGTTAACAGCATTACAATTCACTCAGTTGTTGGAAGAGAAACTTCAGTCAGCTCTGGTTTTTCTTTCTGTCTCATACTCCATGTTCTACCATGTTCTAAGTCCCTCAAGTCAACCTGGAAATTTACCTCCAACTACCCTTTCTGACCACTCTCATGCCATAATGCAGAATCTCATCATACCTAATCTAGACTGCTATTATTTTGGGGTCTTCCTGCCTCCAGTCTCTCCTGGTTCTAAGAAACTTTCCACACAAATCTTGTAAGGTAATTCAACTGCTGAAAAACCTTCAATGTACATTACTGCCTATAGTAAAATATTAAAAATTATCCCATAGTCAGAGGCAGCCTCCCATAATTTAACTCACTCTATTGTCCCAGTCTCCTCATCACCATGTCCTCTTATATACCTTAGCAACAATGGTCTGAATAATGTTTGCCAAACACGCTGCATATCTGAATGTTGCTCTATCTTTGTTCACATTGCTCTTGTTGCCTAGCACCCCCTTCCTACCGTACTTTCCTAGTAAACGCCAACTCATTATTTCAGAGGTACTTCACTCTGCTTTCATGCCTTCTCCCACCTTCCCCAACAGAACTACTCCTTTATCCATGTTTCCATTACACTTCACATAGATAATCACTGTATGTCTTACGACACAGTATTACAGTCATTTATGTACTCATCTCCCTTGGAAATCTGAACAGAACCTAGACACTGTTCATCTTTATGTATTAGTGGCTGACAGGCAATAAGAGTTCAATAAATAAATATATTATTTAATGACACATTTATTACTAATGTTTAAGGAATTTATACTATGCACAGTGGTTAAGAATCATACCACATCTTCTGATCCCCTCCCTAGTGACCACTAAATAACAGAACTATTGTTTTTGAAGCCCTTTCTGATATAAAAGCCCCAACGATCCAGTGTTTTGTATAGTATTTTCCTTCTATCAGATACATCTGTGTGACACTGCTATTTTAGTTAAAATGAGCCAGTTTCATAAAACAGCCATCAAGATTTTAAAAAAAGGAATAAAACAAAAGTATACTTCTACTCCTCTCTTTGAAGGTATACACTCCCACCACAATCTTCCAGACAGAGATACTAATTTCAAATGATCCAGCCTTCAGGCAGTGATAGAGGAGAACTACCTGATGTTATCAAGAACCTGGAAAGATGTCTTTTAGGTAGAGAGCAGAATTATGAGAAACAGGTGGAATCTATGGAAGACAGGAAAAGCCCCAAAGGACTGGGAACTTGGAGAAAGAAGAAGGAAGGAAAATATGGGGAGGATTCACAGGAGATAACAGAAAATTACAGAAGTCTGGTAAGGATCTAAAAAAAGACATTTATAAACCAAAACTACTGGTCTTGTATGAGAAAAAAATATTACAACCCAAAGCACATTAAACTTCTAAATCTAACTCTCGGTTTGCAAGAATACAAGAGACAGAGGAACATGTGAGACAAGACCACAATGATACAACTAGGAAAATTCAGTACACTCATGTGCCACATAATGACCTTCCAGTCAACGACTGCATATACAACAGTGGTCTCCTAAGATTCCTACTATATAGCCTAGGTGTGTAGTAGGCTGTAACATCTAGTTTTGTGTGAGTACACCCTATGATGTTCACACAACAACAAAATTGCCTAACTACACATTTCTCAAAATGTATCCTCATGGTTAAGCAGCGCATGACTGTATGTGGAAAACAAATAACTACATTTTTTTCAATGAAGAATTGCAAAGGAAAAAAGAAGGGAGGGATTACAAGATATTTAAGAGACATATCACGCAAATGCTATGTGTGGACCTTGCTTGGATTCTATTTCAAAAAGCTAATTTTTTAAAAAAGAGAAAGAAAGAAAAAGAAACACTAACAAAGACAACTGGGGATATCTGAGCACTCATTGGATATATGATACTATAATGGAATAATTGTCTTTTTTAGGAGTGATAATGATATGTAGTTATGTATTTTAAAAGAAGACCAAATCTTTTAGAGATACATATGGAAATACTTATATGAAATAAAAAACATCTGGGATTTGCTTCAGAATAATCTAGAGGGGTAGAGATGGCTATGTTGAAGCTGTATGGTGGTGATTACAAGAGGGTTCATTATACTATTCTATTTTGGTAATTCAAATTCTCCATAATAAAAAGCGTAAAACAAAAAGAAGAAAAAAATATTACTTGCCTTGATTATTTGACTCATTTTAAGCCTTCTTTGAATCACTTAAGTTTAAAGGTCTTCTCTTAGTAAAACTAATTACCCTTCAACTAAACATTTACCAAATTTTTTTTGCCCTGGAACCCTAAGTTGGTGCCTATTAAGGCTTACACTCATGAGGTCTTCTTTTCTTACCTTGTCAGACAATTCATTTTCCACATCTTTCTTGATTCTCCTCAGCATAAATGGCTTCAGGATCATGTGTAAGCGAGAGAGTTGATCTGAAATGCCAGGAGGCCCCCCCCAATAATACATTATATTGATTTAACACAAACAAAAGAAATATGATCACGTCTTACTAAGCTGTTCTAACACCTTTTGGCTTAATGATTCTCTGAAAGAAGACAGAAACGGAATCTTTTTCCCAAGTAGGAACCAAGGAATCTGAATTTTTCATAGCATCTTCCTATATTCAACTGGGCAAATGCATTTTGGTCTCATTTACTCAGATCAACAAGTACCATTTTATTTTTATTAGAACTCACCCTTAGAGTGTTTTAGGACATTTTATCAATAATAGGGTTTTCATATAGGTCTAATGCAAGCTATCTGGGACTCCCAATGTTCCTGAAAAATCATTTCTTCAAAGTATGTCAGCAAATTAACAACTTGTAGTATAAGAAATTACTTAAGGACTTTTCTAATAGTAGATGTCACTTCATGTCCATGTAATAAACACCTCATAACTCTCTTAAAAGATATTATTCAACAAGGTCAAAGTATTGATAAACAAGGTCAAAAATGTTCACAGTAGAAACAAATCCAAACACAGATATCAACAAAATGACCCTTCTAATATTTTCTTTTTTCTTTTTTTTTTATTGAGCTAATGATACGTTACAAACTTGTAAAATTTCAGTTGTACATTATTGATTGTCAGTTGTGTTGCAGGTGCACCACTCCACACCCTGTGCCCACCCCCCATCCCATCTCTCCCCTGGTAGCCACCAATCTGTTCTCTCTGTCTACATTTTTAAATTCCTCATATGAGTGGAGTCATACAGAGATTGTCCTTCTCTAACTGGCTTATTTCACTTAACATAATTCCCTCAAGGTCCATCCATGTTATTGCAAATGGAATGCTTTTGTTGTGTTTTACAGCTGAGTAGTATTCCATTGTATATATATACCTACCACATCTTCTTTAGCCCTAATATTTTGTTTTTAATCACAGGAAAAAAGCCCTAACCCCACAGCACAAAGAATATAATTCTGATATGAACTTGTCAGAATCTACATGGAAAATGAGGAGTCTCTAAGCGAAAATATGGTACTTTATGAACTCTGCCTGTTCTGCCTTGGTTAGTCAACACTACAGCAACATCTCCTGAATTAGTCCTTTTTTGACTCTTTGGAAAATAAAGCACACAATTATAAGATAAACTTTTCACCTCAGATCCTTCTCTGTATACTAGAAGAATTCTTCACATAAAAGAAAATACACAATTACATAGTTGCCTACACTGATAGGCAAAAAGAAAGTAAGTTCATAAAAGTACTCACTCTCATCAATGGCAGATTTGTTTTCGGCGTGGCTCTCAATGTCCTTGGAAAACCATTCATTAAATTCCTCATGTGAATCAAATAATGTTGGCATAATGAAATGAAGCAGAGCCCAGAGCTGGAAACAAAAGAAAAGTGAAATAGCTGTAGGACAACAAAATGAGTATGTGAGAATACAATGGAGGTTTGGAGAGAAAGAGTGAAAGTTGCAGGTGTGTGTGTGTCTGAGTCTACGCGCACATGTATGTTTGAGTAAGGGAGAGAATGAGCATACAAGCACATACCTCATCAACCAACCCCAATTCTAAAACATGCTCTAGCAAAATGTGAGTATTTTTCAATTAATTTCAACCTAGAAGTCTGAAAGCACAAGTCCTGCTCAGACTTTGCAGTGGGATGGTTTTAAAGATCATTTATATGTCCATGAATGAACATGATCTGAGGTAGCATAACTTGCTAACAATAACTGTACATCAGAGGTCAGCAAATATGGTCTGTGGTGCCAGGTCTGGCCTGCCATCTATTTTTATAAATAAACTTTTTATTTTTACATAAACCTTTTATATTTTTATAAAAAGTTAAAATAAAGTTTTAAAGGAACACAGCCACATCTATTCATTTAATCTATGGCTGCTTTCACATTACAACAGCAAGGTCGAGCAGTTGCAACAGCAACTGTACGGCTCGTAACGTCTAAAACATTACCATCTGGTTCTTTACAGAAAGTCTTCTGACCTCTGATCGATTATCTTTCCAAAAGAAAGAATTTTAGCTCCTCTCAGTGTTAAAGAATATTATACCTTCTCATTCTGGCATAGAAACATCTCTGCGTTAGATGGGTAGCATTCCTAATGAATTCACTATTTATTACATAAATATAAAGGAATAAAGGAATTTATTTGCCTTATGCCAGAAAATAAGAAAATGAGAATGATGCAAAACAAAACAAAAACCACTTAGGGTAAGCTATGGTTAAATTCTTCCTTTTATGTGGGGATTGTCATTTGTACAGAACAATAACACTCTAACTGGGCATGGGTAAAGAACTCTGTTCTGTACTGGAACCATTCTGTTTAAGGCACACATAAAGCTGAGGCCTTTTCTAGTGCCTACCTCTGCCATGGTGTTCTGAATGGGGGTCCCAGTTAGCAAAAGCCGATTCCGACACTGAAACTGTAAGAGGATCTTCCAACGAACACTGTCCAAGAAGATGAATTACAAATTCCAAGTTAGCAGTAAATCTCTCTTCACCCTATGAAGACCCCATATTTCTAAAAATGCTTTCCAAAAAAATAACAAACACTCAGAATCAAGTACTCCACCAAGTATACAACTGAAAAATATTATTCAACAAAGCCGAGGTCAGGAAATTCCAGAGAAATTGACTCCTCTGTACTGAAAACATGGTATTAGGGTTTGGGAAAAAAAGGCCCTCAAATAGGCAGAGTAGGATCCTTTCTGGCTTGATAAAGTCCTCTACTTACTATCTTTGGTCAGTTTTATTGACAGAAAGCATTTAATTATATGGTACTTATCTGTAGTAGAAAGCTTTAAACTTATTAACTTGTGTTTCCAGTTGGGAGTTTGGAGGAAGCAATGGAGAAAGGGGAAGGGCGTGAGAAGAAAATGCAAAGTGAGTTTATTGCTCCTGGTCACAAGCATGTCTTACTTCAAAAAAGTGCAATATGAAGAAACGCTCTTCAGAAGATGGAGAGTTCCACGGAAAATACCATGCTGCCAGTTAACATGGACCTCCTAAGAAATTCCTATGGGTTCATCAAGAGTTTAATAAGAATTATCAAACCCAAGGTTTAACACTGCCAAGTAACACTTCACAGCCAAGTGCTCATTTACGATTCAGTTTGGGACCTTAAAGGTATTAGAACATTTCAAACATAGACCTTCCAATAAAAGGATTCTAGGGGGTCTAATAACCATCCAGGGACTAGGACAACACACATAAAATAGACAGAACCTGTAATCCACATAATGTAACATTCTAATTTCTACTAAGACCTCCTGTCTAAAACAATCCCTCACAGAAAGAGCAGACAACTCTTTCTGCATAGGAATTTTCCTTGAAGAATAAAGATCTGTTAAAACATCATAATTATTGAGTAGGGAGATAGAAGTCGAGAAAAATCCTTATATTCTAAACATTAGTATTTGTGTTCCATGGAAAATGCAAAAGGGAATTTCTGCCTTCTGGTCAGATATACGGCTTATGCAGAGACCATATCATGCCATGTTCTAAAACCTCTCTGATCTTCATTCACGTGTGTGTGTGTATATATCATATACACAGATATATGTATATCTATATATCTTCAGGCCATGGAGGTTGGTTTCTACTACTCACGTTACCTGGAACTACTTTTGAGCGCCTGAGCCTCATCCAATACCATGTACTGCCACTTGACCCGCTGGAAGTACTTTACATCCTGCACCACCAGCTGGTAGCTGGTGATAACCACGTGGAAGGGGGCATCCTGAGTATAGAGGGTCTTCTGTAAATAAAAGAGGGTAAGGGTGTAAAGAGACACCTAACAACTTACAACAAGATAATGAGGAATGGACTGTACTTTCTAAGGCCAAGAAGTTTAAGATAGTCCTAAAGATGTGCTTCTCCCACATGGTAGATGTGCAGTGAATTAAACCATAACTGTTTTTAAAGCAGTCACCTTAATCACAGACCATGTTAAAAACTAGTCTTTAGCTAGTTAAAGAAAAAAGTTCTTAGTTAATCCTGGACTTTAAGTTCAGCTGATTGTCTATAAAAGCAAAAGCATTGTTAAAAAAAAAAAAGTGTGCTTGCCTAGTGTCCAGAAATATATAATATATAAGAAGATTTTACATGAGAAATTACTCAGATCAACTAGAGAAATACTGATTGCACATGTATACGTGTGTGTGTATGTATATATGCAGTAAGCTGAAAGTTACCTGACTCCAAAACCTCCTGATGACTTTCCTATCATGAGGATTTCCCCAATATGGTAGCACCTAGAAAAAGGACCAATATACAGATTATTTCCTACTGATCATCTTAAATATACCATCACAAATATGTTATTCAGGATGATTCTAAAAGAACCTAAGAGAATGAATATAGGAGTTCCTCTTCTGTCATTGCTGGACTAGCGTTTCTCCTAGTATATATATACAAAACACTTGTTTGAAGACATCACAGGGCTGCTGAGACAGTGGAGAATTACAGAGCCAAGATCCAAAATTAGAACAGAAGCCCAGAAAGGAAAGCCAGGCACCTGGCACACGTTTCCCCTGAAGGTGCTGATCCTTTCCAAAAGTTCTAGTTGAGAGACTAACAACGAATTTTTTGTTGTTGTGGGGTTTTTTTTTGAGGAATACTGGCCCTGGGCTAACAACCGCTGCCAATCTTCCTCTTTTTTGCTGAGGAAGACTGATCTTGAGCTAACATCTGTGCCAATCTTCCTCTACTGTATATGTGGGACGTCTACCACTGCATGACTTGATAAGTAGTGCGTAGAACCACGCCCAGGATCCAAACTGGTGAACCCTGGGCTACTGAAGCAGAGCATACGAACTTAACCACTACGCCACCAGGCCAGCCCCCAGAGTCTTTTTTTATGAGACACAGAGCCCACAGAACAAAAATGTAGTTCAAGGAGAAGGGATTCTGATAACCACCCACCTCCCTGGCTTAAGTTGGGAATCCAAGCATACATACATACTGGTAATAAACTATACATAGATTTTCCTTAACAGGTAGTGAACCCCAGCTTTGAATCACCTCAATTCCTGACTGGAGTAAGAGGATTTTGGATTATTAGTGACCCAGGAAAAAAATTACTAGGGGCAAAAATCCAAAACACATATAAATCCTCTCTCTGGAAGAAGAAAACAGTATCCAGAGCCAACATCATTCTAGAATTTTTCCTATACAATGTCTGGCATACAATAAAACAAGTAAAAAAAACCAGACATAAGGAAAGACTAGACTACATGACTGAAAATCAACATGAAAAACATGAAAGAAACAAACCCACAGGAGATCCAAATAATAAAAACATCAGAAATGGACTTTTAAAAAAATGCTAATTTGTTCAGGGAATTAAATGATTGAGAATTTCAGTAGTGTACTAGAACCTATAAAAAAAAAAAAGGAATTTTTAGAACTGAAAAATACAATAACTAAAATCAAGAATTCAATGATAAGTTCAATAACAGATCTTAGATACAGGTAAAGAGAAAATCAGTGAATTAGATGATAAGTCAGAAGGAAATACTCAGACTAAAGCATGGAGAAACTAAAGAATGCAAAATTCAGCACTTTTTCTGTGATGTTTCTAGATGTAGTTTCTTTCTTTTTATCCTTATGGGGCTCAAAGTGCTTCTTGAAGCTGTAGCTTGATGTCTTTTGTTGTTATGAAAAATCTCAGCCAGATGGAAGCACAAATATGCAGGAAGCAATGAAGATCAATGAAAACAGTGAATATGTAACTAATAAGTCTAAAATAAATCTAAAATGTATAAATAATAATACAATGTCTTGTGGGGTTTAAAAGATAAAATACATATAAAAACAAGAGAACGTAAGTCTAGAGAAGGAGGATGTAGTTAAGTATACTAAGGTACTTGTACTTATACTAGTACTAGTAGTAGTACTTATACTACTTTTTTAAAAGTCAAGGATGCATATTGTATTCTCCTGGTATCTACTGAAGAATAAAATGAATATATAATTAGCAAGCTAGAAGGGGAAGAAAAAAAAATGAAAGAGTAATAAAATCTAATCAATCCAAAAGGACACAAGAAAGGAGAGAAAAAGAAAGCTGAACGGGTGAACAAAGTAGAAAGAAACCAGCAAATTAGCAGATTTAAACTTCATATATCAATAATTACATTAAACATAAGCACAAATATGCCAAATAAAAGGCATGAAATACTCCTTAAATGTAAGGATAGAGAATGGTTAAAAGCAAAAGGTAGAAAAAGATATAATGTGAAAACTAACCAAAAGAAAGCTAATCTATCTAATATCATAGAAAATAGATTTTAAGGCAAAAATCTTAAAGGAGGGAATTTCATAATAACAAAAGAGTCAATTCACCAGGAAGATAAAATAATTGTAAATTTATACATATCTCACATCCTCAAAATATATAAAATAAAAATGAACATAGGAAAACAGAAATGGATAAATCCATAGTTGTAAATTTTAACACACCTCTTCAGTCACTAACAGGACAGGTAAACAAAAAAAAAATCTGTAAAGATAGAGAAGAGCTGAACAAGTTAAAAAACTTAACCTAATCAATATACATAACAACACTGAACTCAATGACTGCAGAATACCTATTATTTTTAAACACATATAGGACATTTATAAAAACTGACCATGTGCTGGGCCATAAAAGCAAAGTTCAACAAATTTCCAAGGATTAAAATCATAAAAAGCATATTTTCTTACCACAGTGGATTTAAAGTATAAATTAGTAACAAAGGTATCTAGAAAATCATCCTTTGTTTGGAAATTAAGAACCACACTTTAAAATAAGCCACATATCAAATAAGAACTTGCTTTTAGAAATTATTTTGAATTGAAAGATAATGAAAATGTGACACATCAAACCTTTGGATAGCTATAGTCACCCTTAGAAAGCAATTAATACCCTTAAATACACCAATTAGAAAAAGCTGAAAATCAGTTATCTAAGCTCCATCTAAAGACATTAGGAAAAAAAAAACCTACCAAAAAAGTACACAAGAATAATAAAAGACAAAATAGAAATAACTGAAATAGAAAACATACAGAACAGCCAATTTCAAGAATGAAAAGTGGTACATTAGCTATAGAAAAATTGTAAATCATACTTTATGGAAAAGAGGAGAAAGTCAGAGGCACTGATCATATCAGAATCATAAAATGAGTGTTACTCAGATACCTGCCAAATAAAATGAACTTTCAGACGTTATCATACATCTAAGTATCTTTTGAATGTAATCTAACTATAAACCTGACCAGAGTCTACATCTAACTATCTTCTGTGGGGAAGTGAACACATTTCTAACAGTTAAAGGAGTAATGGCAACAGAAACAATGAATCAACAGAGCAGAGGTCATCAAATCATTTCCTTAAACAGCCAGATAGTAAATATTCAGGGCTTTCCAGGCCACACAGCCTCTGTCACAACTACTCAATTCTGCTGTTAAGAATGCGGCCATCAATAATACATAAACAAAAGAGTGTGGCTGTGTTCTAATATATATGTATTTAAATTTCATGTATCATTTGTTATTCTTTTTTAATCAACAATTTAAAAATGTAAAAACAATTCTTAGCTCACAAGCTGTACCAAAAAAAAGGTGACAGATTTCTCAATAAGTTAAATATAGAATGACTTAGCAATTCCACTCCTAGGTATATACCCCAAAGAACTGAAAACAGGTGTTCAAACGAAAACCTGTATATGAATGTTCACAGCAATACTATTAACAATAGCCAAAAGGTGGAAATAATCCAAATATCCATCAATAGATGAATGGAAAACAAAATATGGTATATCCAGATAATGAAATATTATTCAGTCATAAAAAGGAAAGAACTGCTGACATATGCTACAACATGGATGAACCTTGAAAATATTCTGCTAAGTGAAAAGCAGCAGCCAGACACAAAAGGCTACATTATTATATGATAGCAGTTGTATGAACTATCCAGAATAAGCAAATCCAGAGATAGAAAGCAGATCTGTGGCAGCCAGGGGCTGGAGGGAAAGGGAGTGACTGCTTAATGGGGAGTAGGTTTCTGTTTGGGATGATGAAAAAATTCTGTTACCAATTAGCAGTGAGCATTGTACCACACTGTAAATGTACTTAATGCTACTGAATTGTACACTTTAAACTTGGTACATTTTATGTTATATGCATTTTATCACCATTAAAAAAAACTGGGGCAAACAAGTGGCAACAGAATTGGCCCACAGGCCATCTTTTACTGATCCCTAAACTAGAATATCAAAAGGAAAGAAGCTTAACATGCAAATGAAAGCTCAGTTTGAGGGATAGGTATAAAGTCAAAAGAGAGGTATCAAATGACATAAATAGTACTCCATTGCCATCTATCGGCCAGTAAAAGAAATACTGAAAACTTAAGTGGTTTGGTGGAAAATTTTAAGACAATTTTTCAGCTTCCTGATTGTTCAACATGTACTGAACAATAACAAAGCAGGAAAAAGATGGGGAGCTCCATATTTCATACAGCAAACAACTCTAGAGACAACATTCAACAAACTGCCTTAGAATGATCTCATCTTCTCATTAGAAAGTTAAAAAATGAGTAAGCCAAATTAAAAGCTATACACCTAATGTGCTTTTGTAAACAGAATCTACAATTCAGACACAAAGGTAAGGCCACAGTCCCCAAGGTGCCCCAAAGTGGAACATTCCAGACATGTCCCTACTGCTTACAAAGCAAAAGCCAGAAAAACACCAGCCTCCCATCTCCACCCTATCCCATACCCTTTAAATTGAATGGAACTCATGATTATTATAGAGACCCCAAATCAGAGAGATCATGTCTCATGATATATCTCACGAGACATAATCTCCATAAAACCTCCTCACCATGCAACTTCATTACCACTGTAACCCTTTAGGGAAAGAACACATATTTAACTCATTTCCATCTTTTACTTGCAAACAATTTAATAAATTGTACCCATTCTTTCTTGCATCCCAACAACTTTCTGTAAGTAAACGTCTGTTTAAATCTTTTGCATGTCTTATTCAACTTGATGCAACATACTTCCCTGCTGATCATTTCCTACCTCAACGTCAATTCTTTTCCTCTGAATTAGTTAAAATCAACTTTCACATCTACCTTATACATTACAAGGTATAATATCTACTGTAGACATTATAATTTGGACAAAGACTAAAAATATGGCTTTGGAGTATTAAGAAAATGAATTATTTATGAATACATTTGGCAGGGGACAACAATGCCATAAATTACAGTATATGTGTCCTGATGATATGATTTGCCAAAATCTATGTTAATCAGTAAGGTAGTTATCTTCTATTATGGCAATTTGACCAGGAGCATCAATCCATGTGGCCAATGCAGCAAATCACTCAAATTAGATTGGCTGTCTCACTTATGAAACATAAGGATGTAATATACTCTCTTATTGCTCCCATTAGTAACTTTTATAGAGAATGTACGTAAGGTATTTTGGAAAAAATGCAAGAAATTAAAACTATTGTGAGCAATTAAATAAGTAAGGTAGCAAACGAAGAGTCAGAAAGTTTAAAGAGCAGTACAATTTCTTGTCAGATTGATTTTTACCTTAAATTTAGGAACAAATCTAGTAAACTCCTGGTGCCAATTGTTAAGTGTAGAAGCAGGTGAAATTATTAAGAAAGGTCCCCAAATGTTCTCTCTCTGAAACAGAAAAACTGGGTCAGCCAACTGCAGGAACACTGAAGATATGTAATTCAGAACTATAATGACGAGCAATTTAAGAATAGGAGATACATTATAACAAGAAAAACTGTGTATCTCCCATATATGCACACTCAATAATAACATCCTACGTTAATAATAACACAGGCAAGGAAGTTGCTCATATACACCTTCAGGAAAAAATACCAAGCAATTACTCCCTCCCCTCATCTCGTTTAGGTCCTAATATATATCATTCACAAAGCACCTAGACTGACTTGTATGTGTTGCTTTCCCCATACTACATGATCATAACAATTTTACTATTATTTAATTGGTATAGAGCTTTTGTTTTCAAAATGCTTTTACACATATTTTCTCACTTAATTCTCATAAAATTCTTAGACGGCAGATATCATCCCCACTTTACAGAAGTGAAAACTAAACCTCAGAGAGTTAAAGTGAAGTCAGGTCAAAAGAAGTTAAGTGAACTGCCCAAGTTTTACACTGCTAGTAAGCATAGAGTTGAGATGTGAACCCAGGTCTTCTGACAACTAACTACAGCATCTTTGCCACTACATCGGTGGTTCTCAATAGAAGGGGGTTGGGGTGGGGCAGGGGTTCAAACCACACCTGCTCAAAAATTATCCTAGTCTTCTTGAAAACCAAAATGTTTCACCACACTGTGTCAGCTTGAAAAGGCCTTGAAGGCAAGGAGCAAGTCCTACTGTCTTGGTTTGCCACAGAGCCTAGTACAGTGCTTGATAATGGCTGATTCTCAATAGAAAATGACCCTAGGATCTAGAGAGAGGAAGATGGAAAGACTGCATCCACCCACCTCAGCCAGATGGGCCAGGAGGGCAATGCTCTGTACTGTTTTACCAAGGCCCATTTCATCTGCAAGAATGCCATTAATACCCTGGAAAAAAAAATACACATGGTCAACACCTCTCATATTCCACCACACAAGGTTCAACATACTGCCAAAAAGAACTAACCAAAATGTCAGATTTGTTCAAACAAAAGTGACTAACAGACATCCAGCTTCAGCACTATTACCCACTGCTGTAACGATTCCTTTTGCCAACTCCACAGAGACAACTGCGAATCATGATACATGAGATGAACAGGCCAAAGCCAGTTTTTCAGCTAATCTAATCTAGGCACAGAAGCAAAACAATCTGGTTTACCAAGACCCCCTAAGATAAACTATATTCATGATACAAATGTTCTCCAAAAAAATCTCCAGGTTAGAAATATAGAGACATCTTACTCTTATGAAAAGATAAAGCTTTTTAAAAGGGATGAAATCTAAAACAGTATCTTGTGCTCATTTCACAATATACTGAACCAACGACTTCAGGAAAACATAACAAACAAAAGACAACGGGTAGGATGTAGTTTTAAAATTCACCTGTTCATAGAGATTTGCCAACCAATTCATGCCTTTCAGCTGATAACCTTTCAATTTGCCATTAAAAATTGTAGGCTGTGGAATATCCTCACCAGCCCGGATAGATGGGTTTGCCAGGCTGTAACTCTCCCCAAATCCAGTGCCAAACTTGTTTGCTGCCCGTAGGGCAGCTGCACGACTTTCTTTTGCATCTTCATCAAATGACCTTGTCTGTAAAATAAAAATATATTGAAGGAAAATATAAGAAAAAAATTAAATTCAAATAAAACTCATAATGACATACATCTATTTTGTGCTAATTGGAACAAAATTTCTGATAATATAATTTGATATATAGTCATGTGTTGCATAATGATGTTTCAGTCAACAGCGGACTGCGTATAGACAGTGGTCCATTAGGACCATATAACCTAGGTGTGTAGTAAGCTATATAATCTGGGTTCATGTAAGTACACTCTAGGATGTTCACACAACAACAAAATTCTCAGAACTCATCCCCATCGTTAAGTGATACATGACTGTACCATATTATATGTAAAGCATTCTACATTAAAGTATATTGTTAATATTTTAAAATTAACTTAACAATTATATTAAGAATATGTTTTTGATGGACAGACACTAAGCCATATTACAGGATTACTTGCTTCATCAAGGGATTTGTTAGATTTGATATAGAATTTGTTTGATTGGTTGGGATGGGTGGGGAGAAGGTCGAGTTCATGTCTAACCTTGACTTAGACCCTGTCAAAGTTACAAAGGGGCTCCTATGAAGTATATTAAACTGTGTTTTCTTTATTTAATTCAATCTAACTGCAGTTTCTTTCTGATTTCATTAAATATCACTATATCATGAATAAGCAAGTTACTACTAAAGTGAAACAAGCTACTAACGTAGCAGATTTCTTAGAGCACGATATAGCTCTCTTAACAAGCAAGAGTGTGAGCTTTTTCACTAAACAACCGTGATGCATTTCATACTGTTTACCCATGATTACTCAGGAAAACAAAAAAATTAGGCAAGCTGTCCTAGCTTTAATCAACACACTCCTAAAGCTTAGACAAGCGAATGCTTGTTTTCTACCTTTCCTCAAGTATGCCTGCTGTTCTAAAGCAAATAGACAGCCCCCACCCAACACATTCACATACACATACACACATTCATAAATGTTTTTAATTGAAAATATGATTAAGACTAAAGGAAGACCACCCAAGTTGTGGGGTATTTCCAGGGCCCATTACAGTTTGTCTTTTCATTTTTAAGACTCACCCGAGCTTGATGAATATGGTAAGCATTTTCAGCATTCTTCAGGGCCTGGGCTTTGAAATGGTTACTATCTGAAAAGGAAAACTTGTAGATTATCACATCTCATTAACTGATCTCCTTCAAAGATGCAACTCACACCAACATATGTGCATCCCTGACTCCCCTATTCTACTTATCCCTAGGTTCATGGAGGGTGAGGGAGCAGAAAGGCTCAAATCACTTGACAGAGGTAAGGACTTGGAAGCGGCACTAGAAGCAGAGGGCTGCCACGGTCTCCAGTAGCCTAAGCTAGCTCATGACACCACCAGGAGACTGAGCTGCAGTTTCCCAATCCTAGGTTTCTTGCAGACAGCAATGCCAAAGCCAGGAAAAGCAAGGCAATGAGGATTCAAAATTGTGATATATTTATGCCGGGTCAAACTATTCCAGAAGAAGAAATACAGATATATGTAACCCCCAAGATTCTCTGAAGCACTCTCATTCTCTTTTATTCCGAGCTCAGCATGACCCTGATCATTATTCTCTGTGAAATTCCTCTCACACTTCACCCAATTCCCCCATCCCCTTGTGATCACAAAAATACCAACACTGAATAGTCTCTTTCTCATGCTTGACTTGCATCACCAAGAAACTTACTATGTGAGATAATTTTGTCTGCTGAGACATGTTCACTGAATTCTTCTGATTAATACCTTCTACTTCTACTAACAAATCAAAACATGTAAAATATTCCCAAACTTGCAAGATCATATAACTACACTCTTTCCTTTTTAAATTACATAATACAAGTTACTTCATATGCAGTCACACTTTTCCTACTCCAATACAGTAAGTTCCCCTTTACTGATCAACGTTACCTATCAATCAAGATAAAACTTGCAAGAATTAATCATGTGTATAATAACCTTAGATATGAAAAAATGGAGGGTACTCACCTCCTCTAACTCCTGATTCAGGACTTACCATAATCCTCCTGTGTGATGTTAACTACCACCCCTCCACCAATGTCAATTTGTCTCTGGGTAGAACTGTCTTCCAGTTTTCTTAGGATTTCTTCCTGGATCCCATCATGACCCATGTCTCGTTTGCGACTCATGAAATGGGCATATAATTCTGTCTGGGTGATCAGGAAGTTCAGTTTTCGCTGTTGCCTCTTGGCCTAAAGGGGCAAAAAGTCGAAAGTGACAGTAGAGTCAACTCATCAATCACACACAAAAGGTAGTCAACAGAATTCACCAAATCTACATATACTTTGCATATAATTCCTTTACAAATATTTTACCTTTAAAAAGGCAAAAATTGCTAATGAATAATCTTATTAGAACCAAGTCAGTGGTACTAAAAGCAATGAATAACTTTCATTTATAGTCTAATAATAACCTATGTTTTGCTCTCCTTTACAATAGAAAATCTTTTCTCCTTTAGGCTTCTATCTAAAATGCTTACTTCTTTACTGAATTACTTTTCTATAGTGGCACTGATATACTAACTAAATTCAAACAACACGTTTTATTTCAAAAACTGGGTGGTAGATACATGTGTATAGCTTTATCATTTTTGAAAATGTAAATGTCAAAAACCTCTTCTTTATCACCAGAAGTCAATATAAGTGACTAGGAGATATAAATTATTCTGAAAGTCAATATAGGAGGTATCGGAGAATAAGAAGCCAATCAAAGGAAGAAAACACAGCCCCAAACAATCTGCAGATCATCTGTGATAATGATAACTACAAAACATGAATACAGACCAAATATACACACAAACACATACTTTTTTTTCAATGTTAGAAAGCTAATTCAAAGTGCCTCTAAAATAATCTGGTAAGGAAAATAATAATTGTGTCAATAAAAAAAACCATTCTTCAAGATAAAAAATAAAATGAACAAATGATCCAAAAGACTAAATTATATGGAATATAGCACACTTAATAAACACCAAATTAAAGAGTCATTATTTCGCATTAACTATTTTATAATAAAATTGCTATGTATATACTTGATTTAACCTTGACCCACCTCCCCAAAAGAAAAAGAACAATAAAATAAGGAACATGGCCAAGAAAGGACACAAGTCTCAAAGTATGCTATGTAAAACTAAATTTTCTCTTTAAGGTTTTATAGCACTTGAGTCAGATTCAAATTAGAAGAAAATCTGAAAGAGAATTTAAGAGAAAACTGAGTTTAAATAATGGATATGGATACTGATGTTCCAAAGCTAAAATACTGTCAAGAAAACCTTTCTAAATTAAAATAAAAGAGAGTAACATCTCCTTTCACCTTAAAGAAGTCAACTACTACATGTTTAAATGAACAAAGTAAATTAAGGGAATAATAAAGATCCATCAAAAATAGTTTCATTTCAGAAGTTCAGAGAAAAGACACATAAGTCAACATAACCACCATGAAACTCTCATTGGTTAGCTATCAACATAATTGAAAGAAAGTCTCACAAACCGAGATCATAAGCCAAGCTGCTTACAAAACTTCAAGATCTGTGACTAACTCTCAAATGCCTCTAAACTCAGTAAGTATTCCAAAAGCATCAACTGTTTACTAACTCAATAATATGTTTATCTTGCATGCAAAGATACAAGAGAAGTGGGCAAAATCCATATTCATCCCTAAAGGCATGAATGATAAGGAGGGAAGATCAAGAGTTCAGAACAGGCTCCATAGCTCTGCTTTGACCACTATCTGAAAGACAAAATAATCTAATGTTGGGATTCCCTTCCGTCTCCAGACCTCAACTTTCCTTCCACTCATCCCAACTGGTTTACAAAGGGCAACACAATGACTTTGTCCTCTTCTTCTCTCCTCTTGCTTCCCTGAACGATATACTCAGCCTTCATCAGCTGACATCAGGCTTAGCAAGAGTACTGGCTGCAGGTTAAAACAGCAAACTGGTGAGAGGTAGGTCTCAGAAAACTGGGCTAGTTGTCCATTGTCTCTATCTGGCCCTAAATTTGGCAACCAGCCCTGATCTTCCAACAAACTGAAACTGGAGACAGCACCTGGAACCAAGCCAAGACAAGCTGTAAACTTTCTTTTTCTTTCATTCATTCTTTTTCTTATTTTTTTTTCGTCCTCCAGAAATACATAGAGGAATAAGGCTACAAAGAATAGAGAAAATTAGCCAGGGAGAGGGCCTTAGTGAAATAAAAACAGAATTGGTTTACTGTACTAAAACCACTATTGTCAAAGTTATGTCTTAAAACATTTTTTCAATGATTTCACTGGTTAGACTCATAATCTATGAAGTGCAAACCAATCTCTTGATATGGCTGCAGGAAGGGTTTTCAAAATTTTATGCTATTGCCTTACCTCCCGCATTTCCTCATCCAACTTCCGCTGTTCCAAGGCTTCCTTCTCTGCACGTTTGCGGTGTTCCTTCTCCACCTTCTCATACTTCTTCCAGTACAGAAGCATCTCCTTGGTGAGGCGGCGTGCACGAGGCAAGGTCTCTTTACAGTTCTTTTGAGCCTGCAAGGCAGCTCGACGCACCTCTTTCATGCACTGGTGGGCAAGCTGCAGATGACAACAATGTTATTAAAATGGAGGAGGACCCAAAACCAGGGCAAGTTCTCTCTGGGCTCTAAACCACAGCATCTCTCAATCTGTTCAGGGCACACAGTCCTCCTATGGCCACATGTCTTCCTCCCCCAATCTGATTAATGGCCCTGTACAATACTGTCACCCAGACCCAGACCCTAAGGTAGTATCAGGGATGAAAAACTTAGAGACATATTGCCTTAGAAGCTGAAAAAAAAGTATAATGGCCTGAGATTTTCTGGGAACTGACAAAATGTTATCACACTCACTAATAATAATAACTATCAAAGCTTATTATATGCTAGGCCCCATTCTAAGCTTAACATGTATTAAAATAATTTATTCTTCACAAAAACTCTATGAAGTTGGTATTAGCATCCTCTTCATTTTATAGACGAGGAAACCAAGGATGAACGACTAGCCCAGGGTAACACAACAAGTAACCTTACCTCCTCTGATCTTACAACTCTCAAAAGACATTGTGTTACTTCCCTCTAGGGGAAGGACTTAATATTATCATTTCTTAGATGAAAAGACTGAGCACAGGAAGATTCCGTGATCTGACCAAAGAATTAAGATTGGGCTATGGTCTTATCCAAAAAGGTTCAAATACCAGAAATGTGAGGAAGAGCAATTTTATTTATGATATAAACTGAGAACATTTAGAAACTCTCTTAGGTACTATTAGATTCATTACCAACAGGTCATAAGACACAACAACTTAAGCATGTATCCAAAGAACAAGATCATATTCTAGCAAAATCTAAAATGAGAAATATAAAACTACGGTTTTACCTTTCGGCTATTGGTGAGAAACAGGTTACGAGCTGAAGCTTTCTGCTTGTTGGCCTAAAATATTTAAGAACATTATTTTATTTAGGATTCCTTTTGAAATAAGTTTTGTAGACACAGTGTTCTATTCAACTCCTCGAGGGTTAAAAAATAAAACATCAAGCCAAGCATATTCAAAATACATGACTTCTAAAAGTCTTCCAAATGTACCAACCAACTCGGAACCACACAAAACTACCAAAGCAGCCCTGAGAACAATAAGCTAGTGCTGTGGCTACCTTAGTCTTCTATATACTTTTGCAAAGAATTTAAGTTATATTCAAGGATTGAGGTGGACTAGGAAAATGTAACCACATACCCTAACCCTAGCAGCACCCTGATTAAAACACAAAGCTTTCCAGGGCTGACCTGCAAAGAAGCTGACATACGAGGGCTCTCAGATACAGAAATCCTTAAGGAGACAGGTAAACTAGCCTCCCACCTTTATGATTCTAGCCCCACCTCCAGCCAGGGCAAACTTGCTGCCACTATTACTCAATTTCTGCCATCACTTAAGCCTCATCTTCTCCCACAAAAAATTCCACAGCAGATCTAACACAGGATGACTCAGCAGCCCACAACCCAGTCTCAAGCTGCTTATTATGTCTTCCGTTTCAGTTAAAAAAAAAATCTTAATAAAGAAACTTTATTTCCCATGATGATCCATTTGGCGTGAGAGAAGACACAAGAAGAGGCAGAGCTGAGTGGCCCTCTGACTGTTAAAGAGTTCTCCCTATGACATTGAAGATACAATGGGTTCAAAATTACAGAGCGCCTGAAAGACATTTCTATAATATTCCCACTTCAGACTGTCCGCTTAATGGAATTTTTAGGCCTTTTATCAAAAACTTTCTCTTACTAACTCCTAAGCAGCTATTGCCACTTTAAAGACTCAAATATTCCCATTGAATTCCTTATCATCGGAAGGGCATCATCTGAAGTCTCTTCAGCAGGTACAAAGCAGGTTTTCTCAAAACTTTTCCCACCAATAATGATCAAACATAAACTTCCTCTCCAGAAATATTTATTAATTGCTATGGGGGGAAAATCACTTACTGTACAGTAGAGAAGGACTCTCATGACAAGGGATCAAAGTTAATATCACCAATATTGGGACAGATACGTGATGTGCCTCCTGCTGTGATATACCAAGAAGGACACATCATCTCTCTGGTAATCCTGCCAAAAAGGCATAACCCAAATGTAATCATGAGGAAACATTCTACAAAACAACAGACCTATATTCTTCAAAAACAACAATGTCAAGAAAGATGAAGGCAGAAGTGTTTCAGATTAAAAGAGATTAAAGAGATGTGACAACTAAATGCAACATATAGTCCTAGATTGGATCCTGGATTGAATCAGGAAAAGAGAAAATTGCTATAAAGGACATTACTGAGACAACTGATGAAATCTGACTATGGTCTGTGGATCAGATAATAAAAATTTTTTTTTTAATTGGCACCTGAGCTAACGTCTGTTGCCAATCTTCTTTTTTTTTTCTTTTCCCCAAAGCCCCCGAGTCCATAGTCGTATATTCTAGTTGTGGGTTCTTCTGGTTGTGCTATGTGGGACACCGCCTCATCATGGCCTGATGAGCAGTGTGCCATGACCGCGGCCCAGCATCCAAACTGGCGAAACTTTGGGCCGCCGAAGCAGAGAGCAAGAACTTAACCATTCAGCCATGGGACCCGCCCCAGATAATAAATTTTGTAACTGCACTGTCATTATATATGAGAAGACTTTTTTTGATTAGGAAATACACACTGAATTATTATGAGTAAGTTTAGCACAAAGTCTCAAACTAGCCCTCAAAATGAGTGAGAATAAAGGTATGCATTTATATAATAAAAGCAAATGAGGTGAGGCAAACAATTGCTAAATATGAGTAAAGGATACATGGCAGTTCCTTGCATTACTCTTGCCATTTATTTTTAAAAACTTTTTTTTTTAAACTAATTTTAGACTTACAGAAAAGTTGCAAAAAATAGTACGGAGTTCCCTTACATCCCTCCCCCTGCTTTCTCTAATTTTAGCATCTTATATAATCATGGTACCAATATTAAGAAAAGAAATTAAGACTGGTAAAATACTATTAACTAAACTATGGGTATTATTTGAATGTCAACAATTTTTCTGCTAATACTCTTACTGTTCCAGGATCCTATATAGGATCCCACACTGCATTTAGTTGCTTTTCCCCTTAGTCTCTTCCTGTATGTAACATTTCTTCAATCTTTCTTTTTCATGTCCTTCACACTTTTGAAAAACACCATTTAGTTATTCTGTACAATGTCCAAAATCTCTGGTTTTCTGATGATTGGAATGACATTATGCGTTTTGGCAAGAATACCCCAGAAACAATGTGTTCTTCTCAGTGTATCACATCAGGGAGTTCACGATGTCAAAATTTATATTTACTTTGATCACCTAGAGTAGGTTCCTAGAAGTGGGAGTGCAGGTTTGAAAGGTAAGTGCATATATAGATTGTTAGACTTTGCCAATTTTCTCTTTAGAACAGTTCTCTCTAATTTGCACTCCTAGCAGCACTGTATGAGAGCACCTGTTTCCCCACAGCCTCGTTAACAGAATGTGTTGTCATACGTTTACATTTTTGCTGGTATGACAGGTGACAAATGGTGTCTAGGTGTTATTTTGATTTGTATTACTCATATAATTATGACAGACTGAACCTTTTTAATGGTTGAGGGCATGTTTATATCTTTCCTTGTGTACTGTGTACTCACATCATTTCCCCATTTGTCTATTGTATTTGTGGTCTTTTGTCCCTCAATTTTTAAGAGTTCTTTACATATTAATAGCCCTTTGACTGTGGTATACAATATAAATAATTCCTCCCAGTTTGTCAGCTGTCTTTTGTCATGCAAAAATTTACTTTTTTATGTGGTTAGATTTATCAATATTTTCTTTTACTGCCTCTGGATGTTGAATCATAGAAACTCTTTTCCTACTCAGAGGTTAATTAGGAATGCAATTATTTTCCTCTAGTATTTGCATGGTTTCATTTTTAACATTGAGATCCCTAATCCATTTGGAGTATATAGTGAGATACAGGCCTAATTTTCTTTTTCCAAATGGCTACTCATTTGTCACAGCATCATTTATTAAAAATTCCACTAGTCTATTCTATGAGTCTATTTGCCTATTCACGTGCCAGTACCACATAGTTTTAATTACAGAGGTTTTACAGTATGTTTTAATGTTTTGTGGGGCTTTTTCAGTGTTTTCTTGGCAATTTTTGAATATTGACTTTTTCCATATTGAGTATCAACTTTCCTAAATTCATAAAGTATCTCGTTCATGTTTCTATTAGAATTACCCTCAATTTATAATGAGGCAATTAACCAGGTAAAATGGAAATAACTAGTGAATCTGAGTAAAGAGTATATGGATATTTCTTGCACTATTCCTTCAACTTCTAAGTTTGAAATCATACCAAAATAAAATGGTATGAAAAACAAATTAATAGAGCAAAAAGAATGCTTATACATGTTTCTCTTGAATCATTCACATTTTCTTCTGATGTCTGTGATTATTCATAACATCTAAACGTTTATAAATTCTCTAAGAAACATATCTCCACCATTTTATTTTAATCTACTCTATTATCACCTATCAATTTGCTTCAAATCTCTATTGCTATAAGTAAGAAAAGTGTGTTCCTTCCTCAAAAAGGTCTCCTTCCATTTTTTTGGCCAAGAAGCATCACATAACAATTAACTGTCTTGTGAATTCTGATCAAATTCTAGAAAAATAGTTAAATGGAGAGAGTACTATTCAGTATTCTCTTAATTCCAACAGATGAGCTTCCTTTCTGAACTCTGTAAAGGTACCTAACTCTCACAGCTCCTCTTTAGGGGGCAGGGAGAGAAAACATTCTTGCCATCTCCTATGCTGGAGGTACTTGCTTACCTTTGGTAGTTCCTTTTTCACAATGCTAAGCCATACTTTCCTGCGACGAGCATTAAGCTGCTCAATAGACAAGTGCTTCTTCTTGATGCCAGGAGGAGGTGCATCATGAGAGAACTTGGCAAAGACTTTGGTCTGGTGGTGGTGGCGACGAGGGGATTCTTCAGAGGAAAGTTCTTCATCCCTTCGCCTTTTTTTCTTCACTTTTTTCAACTTAGCTGTCAAGGAAACAGATTCTCAGAAGGTTGTATTTCTTCCCTTCCACAGGAGACAGCCACAAAAACAACCTTTTCACATGAAGAAAATTCAAGGTTCTTTCCTCATTCCCCCTGAGCCTGGCAACATTTATCCCTTTATCTATTTAGGCTCATGAATATTCCAAAAGGAAGACCTCACTACCTTGGAAAAGAACACTGGATACTCCCCGTGTTTACATGAAAGAGAAACAGAATAAAACCTAAGAACTGAACTCCTTTGGAAGCCAACAACAGGAAAGGACGTTTATGAAGTTTCATGGACTCAAATAATGGTCAAAAGGAAGGAAACGTTTCTAGTTGGTGGAAAGGTACGGTTACTAAAGAGAAGCAACAGAGAAAGAAAAAAATGCATTAACTGATATGACACTAAGACCTGTGAAAAGAAAATCACACATCAAACAAAAACCTAATTCGACGGGGAGGGTGTAGAGAAGGAGAAAACAGATGAACAAGAGAATGTGGGAGAAAGAAGGCAAGAAGACTGAAAAGAGTCTTTCTGAGTAGAGTTCATACCTTTCGGGGAATAAAATCTGCCTTATACAGATAGTTTAAAACTTTCCCATTCTATTTCCTTCCTCATTTCCAGCTGCTTAGAGCTCAGTAATAGAAGAAAGGACAGTTCTTGGCAAACTTGCAAACAAACATTACAGAACATCATCAGGAGGCGATCTACTTTAAATCACCACATACAGCAACAATTGTAACTTATTCCAAACACTTTAGGTTATTCTTCATACTTCCCTGTGCATAACCAAGTTCTTCCTTTCTGAGAACATTTTCAACATTTGAAGAGTATGTACAAGAAAAAAGGAATAAACTAATTAGCTTAAAGCTTTGGCTAGAAATCTGTAGTTCTTATGTCTTTATAACTCTAGAAAACATCATAAACCAAATACAAAATAAGGTTAATACTACTTACTACTAATTAGGGGAGACTGGGGTTTTTCAGATAGAGCAAATTTCTATTACATGGATTATGTTCAAAGTCCAAATGCACCAGCAGGCCATGCACAATCCTGAAATTAAGAATGAGTAAATGTGGAAGACAGGTCAATATGCTCACCTTTAAGCTTCTTTTCCTCCTTGAATTTCTTTTTTTTGGGTCCAAGTAGGTGCCGTTGTTGCTCATAGAAAGGGTCATATGTGGAGAGCAGGCCTGCACTGTAATATTGGTATTGCTGCAACTGAAGCAGGCAAAAACAGTGATGCTTAGAATGGCCTGTCTATTCTACGGCACAACCTTCAAATCATCTTTACTACAGAAAGTTAAGCCAAAGAAAAACCATAGCTCCTAAATATGGTATTCTTCCCACAAAGAGACCAATAAAGATCTAGTATATCAATGTGAATTATTTCCCTAACTTCAAAACAAAATGGGGTCACTGGTTATGCACATGGTAGGCTGCTAGAAATAAGAAAGGAAAATGGTTTATGATTCTGAATCCCCACCAGAATATTCACTTAGTCCTGACACATATTTGAGAGATGTAATTCATTGCAGAAAGCTCTCCTCTTGGAATTAATCAACAAAAAATAAACCAACTTCTACTACCTAAGGTTTCTGATGCCTGCTATTCTGCCTTTAGACATATACTTGGTTCAAATAGTCCCCAGGCACCCCAATTCTCCAATCTTTCAAGTCTTTTCTCTTTTCATCTCCACTAAGAGAGTCTGACAATATTATAGATAGTGCTTATGTTGCTAGAATTCTAACATATAAATAATCTATTTTTCTGTCCAGGGAGTAGTTAATCCTTTCAAACATCTCATTTAAATTGACCTCCAGAACTTGCATTTTGTCTCACTTATCACTAATGAATAAACATGAATATAAATTAAAATTAGGTAGTCCATTGTTGAATCTCATTCTTGGATTATAGCCAAATGAGTTGTCCAAGGACAGTAACTAGGATAGAAGAGTGACATGGAAAACTACTACAAAGTCCTCTGTCAAAAGTCAAAATTAAATGAGCATGCATCGAGTTGTATACTTAAAATCTGTGGCTTTTCCCATATGTATGTTTTACTTCAATTAAAAAAAGATGAAAGAAAGTGATGTCAGCATCATGGCAGAGTGAGTTGTTCCCTTTGTCTCTCCCCTCTAGGTTACAACTAAACAGACATTCATTAACCAACAGAGGATTCCCTATAGAGCACAACAGGACACCTGAGAGATCCACGCAGTCATACAACTGACAGTGAGTGAAGTGGATCCCCAGATAGCAGTGGAACTAGGTGAGTGGGCCTGGACCCCTCCTCCCCACTGGCAGCAACAATCCAGGTTGTGGGTCCTCACATAGCAGCTGGTGCGACTATGAGAGAAGGTAGAGACAGCCCAGCCTGCACAGCAACACTTTCAGAGTGGCACTCTGGCCCAGGGGAGCACCCACCATGCCATGACAGCCCCACCGGTGGGAACACTCCCCACCAAGTGGCAACAGCTCAGCCCCAGGGAGGCGCCCCAACCACCAAGCACAACAGCTCAGCTGAACCGCCAGGAGCTGAGCTGGCCTGTACTCAAAAGAAGGCACCCCTCTGCTTCTGCCTAGCGTAGCAGCTCAGCAGTCCCTCCTGCAGGAGAGTAACCCGCCAGGGGAGCAGAGAGGTCTCACCAGTGCATGTGTGCGTGACCTGCCAAGTGGCTGTGGCCAGTGTGCAAATACAGAGCAGCCCTACTGGCATAATGTTCAGCAGACAGGGCAGGAGCAGAAAACACAGCTCCTGTCCCCTCCCCAGTGGTGGCAGGTGGAATCTGTAACCTAATACTACCACAAATGTGCCAGCAAAGGATCAATTCATCAAACACCATGAAGAATTATGGTAACGTTTCAAAGTAGAAGGAAAATGACAAGCCTCCAGAAACCAATCCTGAACTCACAGAAATTTGCAATCTAAATGACGGAGAATTCAAAATAGCTGTCATAAAGAAACTCAATGAGTTACAAGAAAACTCAGGAAGACAGTTCAATGAGCTCAGGAATAAAATTAATGAGCAGATGGAATACTTCACCAAAGAGACTGAAACTCGAACCAAACAAAGAGGAATTCTGGATATGAACACAATTAGAGATAAAAAATAACCTCCAAGCCATAGAAAATAGAGCTGATGCTATGGAGGACACCATTAGTGATTTAGAGGATAGAAATATAGAAATGCTTCAGGCACAGGAGAGAGAACTAAGATTTAAAAAAAATGAAGAAATTCTTTGAGAGATATCCGACTCAATTAGGAAAAGCAATGTAAGGATTATATAGGTATTCCAGAGGGAGAAAGGAGTAGAGAGCTTGTTCAAAGAAGTAACAGCTGAGAAATTCCCAAACCTGGAGAAGGAACTAGACTTACAAGTACATGAAGTCAACAGAACTTCTAATTATATCACTGGAAAAATATCTTATCCAAGGCATATACTATTAAAACTGGCAAAAGTTAATGACAAAGAAACTGTATTAAGGGCAGCAAGGTAGAAGAAAATGACCTACAAAGGAACTCCTGTCAGGCTTTCAGCAGATTTCTCAGCAGAAACCTTACATGCTAGGAGAGAACAGATATTCAAAATACTGAAAGACAAAAACTTTCAGCAAAACTATCCTTCAGATACAATGGAGAAATAAAAGCTTTCCCAGATAAACAAAAGCTGAGGGAGTTCATTGCCCTAGGCCTGCCTTACAAGAAACGTCAAAAGGAACCCTCCTATCTGAAACTAAAAAGCAAAGGTGTAAAAACCTTGAGCAAGGAGATAAATAGACACAATCAGAAAAGTGCAGCTCTACATCAGAAGAGGTTAGTAAACAATTATGACATAAAAGATAAAGGGAAGGAAAGCATCAAAAATAACTAAAAACACTTCAGTTTAGTCACAAACTCACAACACAAAAAGGCCACTCTGTGACAACAATAACTCAGAAGGAGAAGAGAAAAGGGATGGAACCTGCTTAGGCTAATGGAGATGAGGCTATCAGAAAATGGACTATCTCATCTATGAGATCTTTTATACAAAACTCATAGTAACCACTAAACAAAAAACGAAGAGCAGAGCCACACATCATAAATAAAGAGAAAACTATCACAGAAAACAACCAAACTGAAATGGCAGTCAGAAATACAAGAGAAAAGAAACAATGGAAATATAGAACAACCAGAAAACAGGAGATAAAATGGCAGTATTAAACCTTCATATATCAATGATCACTCTAAATATAAATAGATCAAATTCTCCAATCAAAAGACTCAGAGTGTCTAGATGGATTAAAAAACAAGACCCAACCCTATGCTGCCTCCAGGAAACACAGCGCTAAAGCCAAACATGGGCTCAGAGTGAAGGGATGGAAGATGATACTGCAAGCAAATGGGAAGCAAAAGAAAGCAGGTGTTACCATAGTTATGTCAGAGAAAGCAGACTTCAAGATAAAAAAGACAATGAGAGACAAAAAGGGGAGGATATAATGATAAAAGAGACATTGCACCGAGAGGATATAATGCTTCTGAATACATATGCACCTAACACAGGAGCATCAAAATATATAAAGCAACTGTTAACAGACATAAAGGGAGAAAATGACAACAATACAATAAGAGTAGGAGACCTCAACACCCCACTTACATCAATGGCTAGATCACCCAGACAAAGTCAACAAGAAAACAATGGCCTTAAATGAAACACTAGACCAGATGGACTTAATAGATGTATACATAGAACATTCCATCCCCAAACAGCAGAATACACATTCTTCTCAAGTGCACATGGAACATTCTCAAAGACAGACCATGTGCTGGGAGACAAGGTAAGCCTCAATAAATTTAAGAAGACTGAAATCATATCAAGCATCTTTTCTGACCACAATGCTAAGAAACTGGAAATCAACTACAATAAAAAGGCTGGGAAAGTCACAAATATGTGGACACCAAAGAACATGCTATTGAACAACTATTGAATCAATGAAGAAACCAAGAAATACCTGGAGACAAATGAAAATGATGACACCACATACCAACTCTTACGGGATGCAGCAAAAGGGGTACTAAGAGGGAAATTTAAAGCAATACAGGCCTACCTCAAAAAATAAGAAAAATCTCAAATAAGTAATCTTAAACTACACCTAAAAGAACTAGAAAAAGAAGAACAAAGCCTCAAGTCAACAGGGGGGAAATAATAAAAACTAGAGCAGAAATAAATAAAATAGAGATTAAAAAAACAACAGAAAGGATCAATGAAACTAAGAGCTGATTCTTTAAGAAGATAAACAAAATTGACAAGCCCTTAGCCAAACTTACTAAGAAAAAAAGAGAGAAGGCTCAAATAAACAAAATTAAAAATGAAAGAGGAGAAATTACAATGGATACCACAGAAATACAAAGGATTATAAGAGAATAAAATGAAAAACTATATGCCAACCAAGTGGATAACCCAGAAGAAATGGATAAATTCTTAGACTCACACAACCTCCCAAAACTGAATTAAGAAGAAACAGAGAATCTGAATAGACCAATCACAAGTAAACAGATTGAAACAGTAATCAAAAATCTCCCAAAAGGGCCAGACCCAGTGGCCTAGTGGTTAAGTTCGGCATGTTCCATTTTAGAGGCCAGGGTTTACTTCCCAGGCGCAGACCTACACCATTTGTCTGTTAGCAGCCATGCTGTGGCAGACGCTCACATTAAAAAAAGAAGAAAAAAAAAAAGAGAGAGAAGACGATTGGCAACAGATGTTAGCTCAGGGAGAACCTTCCTCAGCAAAAAAAAAATCTGCCAAAAAACAAAAAAGTCCAGGACCAGATGGTTTCTCTGGAGAATTCTACCAAACACTCAAAGAAGATTTAACACCTATCCTTGTCAAACTATTCCAAAAAATTGAAGAAGACAGAATGCTTCCTAACTCATTCTATGAGGCCAACGTTACCCTGGTGCTAAAATCAAACAAGGACAACACAAAGAAGGAAAATTACAGGCCAGTATTGCTGATGAATATAAATGCAAAAATCCTTAACAAAATATTGGCAAATCCCATACAGCAATAGATCAAAAGGATCAAACACCATGATTATGTGGAATTTATACCAGAGACACAGTGATGGTTCAATATCCACAAATCCATCAATGTGATACACCACATTAACAATGTAAGGAATAAAAATCACATGATCATGTTAATAGATGCAGAGAAAACATCTGACAAGATCCAACATCTATTTATGATAAAAACTCTCAATAAAATGGGCATAGAAGGAAAATATCTCAACATAATAATGGCCATATATGACAAACTCACAGCCAACAACATACTTAATGGTGAAAAACTGAAAGCCATCCCTCTTGAGAACAGGAACAAGACGGGTGCCTACTCTTGACACTCCTATTCAACACAGTACTGGAGGTTCTGGCCAAAGCAATTAGGCAAGAAAAAGAAATAAAAGGAATCCAAATTGAAAGGAAGAAGTGAAACTCTCGCTGTTTGAGGACAACATGATCCTATATATAGAAAACCCTAAAGAATCCACTAGAAAACTATTAGAAATAATCAACAAGTACAGCAAAGTCACAGGGTACAAAATCAACTTAGAAAAATCAGTTGCATTTCTATATACTAATAAACTAACAGAAAGAGAACTCAAGAATACAATCCCGTTTACAAACACAACAAAAAGAAGAAAGTATCTAGGAATAAACTTAACCAAGGAAGTGAAAGACCTATACATCGAAAACTATAAGACATTATTGAAAGAAATCGAAGAAGACATAAAGAAATACAAAGATATTGCATGCTCATGGACTGGAAGAATAAACATAATGAAGTCGTCCATATTACCTAAAGCTATCTACAGATTCAATGTAATCTCAATCCAAATCCCAACAACATTCTTTATGGAAATAGAACAAAGAATACTAGAATTTATATGGAACAACGAAAGACTCCAAATAGTCAAAGCAGTCCTGAGAAACAAGAACAAAGCTGGAGGCATCACAATCCATGACTTCATAATATACTACAAAGCTATAGTAACAAAACAGCATGGTACTGGCACAAAAATAGACACACAGATCAATGGAAGTGAATCGAGAGCCCAGAAGTAAAACCACACACCCATGCACAGCAAGGCTTCAACAAAGGAGCCAAGAATATACACTGGAGAAAGGAAATTCACTTCAACAAACGGTGTTGGAAAAACTGGACAGCCACGTGCAAAAGAATGAAAGTAGACCACTATCTTACACCATACAGAAAAATTAACTCAAAATGGATTAAAGACTTGAATGTTAGACTGGAAACCATAAAACTCCTAAAGGAAAATGTAGGCAGTACAATCTCTGATATTGGTCTTAGGAGGATCTTTTTGAATACCATATCTACTCAGGCAAGGGAGACAAAAGAAAAAGTAAACAAATAGGACTACATCAGACTAAAAAGCTTCTGCTGGGCAAAGGAAACCATGAACAAAACAAAAAGACAACCACCAACTGGGAGGAAATACTTGCAAATCATATATCTGACAAGGGGTTAATTTCCAAAATATATAAACAACTCATACAACTCAACAACAACAAAACAACCCAATCTAAAAATGGGCAGAAGTTATGAACACTTTTCCAAAGATATACAGGGCCAACAGGCACATGAAAAGATGTTCAACATCACTAATTATTAGGGAAATGAAAATCAAAACTACAACAATATCACCTTATGCCTGTCAGAATGGCTATAATCACTGAGACAAAAAATAACAAACGCTGGAAAGGATATGGAGAAAAGGGAACCCTCATACACAGCTGGTGGGAATGCTAATTGGTGCAGCCACCATGGAAGAGAGTATGAAAATTTCTCAAAAAATTAAAAATAGAAATACCATACGATGCAGCTACCCTACTACTGGGTATTTATCCAAAGAACATGAAATCAACAATATAAAGAGATCTATACACCCCTATGTTCACTGCAGCATTATTCACAATAGCCAAGATGTGGAAGCAACCCAAATGCCCATTAACAGATGAATAAAGATGTATGTATAGACAATGCAATACTCCTCAGCCATAAAAAAACAAAACCGTCCCATTTGCAACAACATAGACGGATCTTGAGGGTATTATGTTAAGTGAAATAAGCCAGACAGAGAAAGACAAATGTATGATTTCACTCATATGTGGAAGATAAACAAACACATGGATTAAAAGAATAGATTAGTGGTTACCAGAGGAGAAGCAGGTGCAGTGGTGGGCGAAAGGAGTAGAGGGGCGTATACGTATGGTGACAGATAAAAATTAGATTATTGGTGGTGAGCACAATACAGTCTATACAGAAACTGATACATAATAATGTACACCTGAAATTACAGTGTTATAAACCAATATGACCTCAATAAAATAATTTTTTAAAAAAAAGACCAAGAGGCCAGCCCACTGGCCTAATGGTTTAGTTCATGTGCTCTGCTTCAGTGGCCCAGGATTCGTGGGTTCAGATCCCAGGTGTGGACCTACACACCATTCATCAAGCCATGCTGTTGTGGTGTCCCATGTATAAAGCAGAGGAAGACTGGCATAAATGTCAGCTCGGCGACAATCTTCCTCAAGCAAAAAGAGGAAGACCGGCAGTTGGCTCAATCTTCCTCACCTCCCCCCACCCCCAAACAAGACCAAATATTTCAAGCAGCAAGTGCCTTATCACTGTACTTTAAGAAGGAACTCCATGTCTAAATCAAAGCAGTTGGGTATCTTCTACAGGTTTATAACCTTCACCTTATTATTCAAAGCTTTCTGGACTAACTTCGCACCTTAACTAATGGCTGGAAAGTTTTTAGGTCTTCAAATCTACCATTGTTCATTATGTACAAACTGCCACACTTATGAGAAAAATCAGATGGCTTTGGTAACAGCATTTGAATAGTTGAACTATCATCAATCTAATGTTAGTCTATGAAGAAAGGGAGTTTTTCCAACATAGGAACACTTTCAAAGAGCAAGTGCATTAAAAAGCAACCACTAGAATTTAAAGTGGTACAGCTGCTTTGTAAAACAGTCTAGTAATTCCTCAAAAGGGTTAAGCATGGGGAACGGCTCGGTGGGACAGCAGTTAGGTTTGCACCCTCTGCTTCAGTGGCTCAGGGTTTGCGGGTTTGGATGCCGGGCACAGACCTAGCATCGCTCATCAAGCTGTGCTGTGGCAGCATCCCACATAAAATACAGGAAGATTGCCACAAGACGATAGCTCGGCAACAATCTTCCTCAAGCAAAAAGAGGAAGATTGGCAACAGATGTTAGCTCAGGGCCAATCTTCCTCACACACTCTCACACACACACACAAAAGAGTAAGCATAGAGTTACTATAGGACCCAGCAACTCTTTTCCTAGATATATACCCAAGAGAAATGAAAATATACACCCACACCAAAAACTTGTATGCAAATCTTCATTGCAGCATTATTTATAATAGCCAAAAAGTGGAAACAACTCACTATTCATAACTATGATTCATAATAGGCAAAAAGTAGAAACAATCCAATTAGTTCATTAACTGATGCATGGATAAACAATATGTGGTATGTCCATATAATGAAATATCATTTGGCAATAAAAACAAATGAAGTAGTGATGCATGCTACAACATGAATGAATCTTGAAAACATTATGCTAAGTGAGAGAAGCTAGACACAAAGGACCACATGTTGTTCAGTTTGTATGATACGTCTAGAATAGGCACATTTATAGAGACAATTGGACTGGTGGCTGTCTGGGGCTGAGGAGAACGGAGAGAATGAGGGGCAACAGCTAAGGGGAGTGGGGTTTCTTTTTGGGACAAGAAAATGTTCTGGAATAGTGAAGATAGTCACATAACTCTATGAATATACCAAAAACCATTGAATTGTGCACTTTAAGAGGCTGAAACTCTTTTGGTATGTGAAATATATTTCAATAAAGCTGTTATTAGAGCAATCACCACCGCTATCTGAATATAAAGTTAGAATGATGTATCATCAATGAATATAAAGCAGAGAGTAAATACCCAGCATGAAGGTCTGAGATTTCTCTCGAAATTCTCACCTCCTTGTCTTTACTGTACTTATTCTGATGAAGTTTCTTGTATTTGTGCAGTCGCAACATGTTATGAAGTTCTTCTCTGCTGAGACTGAGTTCTTCTTCCTCCTCTTCTTCATCATTGTCTTCACTCTGAGAATCTGCCTCACTAGACTCATCACTTAGCAGAATGCTCTGAAAAAGAGAGGAAACGGAAATGCAACCTCTGCTATGAAGCAGTTCCTCAATAATCCAAGCATTTTTTCCAGGTCCCCAAACAAGGACAAAAACAGCTGGAGGACAGTCATTCCAGTTTCCCTTATACTACTCTTTACGAATTCAACTGAAAAACACCACCAATTGAACCTAGTGGGCACAAACTAAAGAGCACTGATAGAGGGGGAATGCTGTAAGCAGCAACAAGGCTAGATTTCACTAAGGACTTACAATAATATAAGATATTTTAACTAAACATCAAATACCAATGCAAAACAACTAAACAAAACAAAAACACTACTTAGAGGGTATAAAGGAAAATAGAAAGCAAGCTGTGACAGCTAATGAAGAAGAAACAACCCCAAAATCCATTAATTGATGAATGGATAAACAAAATGTGTTATTATCCAGGTAATGAATTAATCAGCCATAAAAAGGAATGAAGTACTGATACGTGCCACAACATGAATGAACCTTGAAAACATTACACTAAGTGAAAGAAGCCAGACAAAAAAGGCAACATATTGTATGATTCTGTTTATATGAAATGTCCAGAATGGGCAAACCCATAGAGACAGAAAACAGATTAGTGGTTGCCAGGGCCTGGGGGAAGTAGAGAATGGGGAGTGACTGCTTTTGGGTATAGAGTTTCTTTTTGGAGTGATAAAAATGTTCCAGAATTACAAAAGTTATCTATCTGACAAAGGGTTAATCTCCATAATATACAAAGAACTCACACAACTCAACAATAAAAAAATCAAACAACCCGATTACAAAATGGGCAGGGGACGCGAACAGACATTTCTCCAAAGAAGATACACAGATGGCTAATAGACACATGAAAAGATGCTCATCATCACTAATCATTAGGGAAATGCAAATCAAAACTACACTAAGATATCACCTTACACCTGTTAGAATGGCAAAAATATCCAAAACCAAGTGGTGAAAAGGGAACCCTCATACACTGTTGGTGGGAATGCAAACTGGTGCAGCCACTATGGAAAACAGTATGGAGATTCCTCAAAAAGTTAAGAATAGAAATACCTTATGACCCAGCCATCCCACTACTGGGTATCTATCCCAAGAACCTGAAATCAGCAATCCCAAAAGTTCCACGCACCCCTATGTTCATCGCAGCATTATTCACAATAGCCAAGTCATGGAACCAACGTAAGTGCCCAGCAATTGATGATTGGATAAAGAAGATGTGGTATATATACACAATGGAATACTACTCAGCCATAAAAAAGGACAAGTCCCATTCACAACAACATGGATAGACCTTGAGGGTGTTATGTTGAGTGAAATAAGCCAGACAGAGAAAGACGAACTCTGTATGACTCCACTCATAGATGGTAGTTAACATATGGACAAAGAGAACTGATCGGTGGTTGCCAGGGGAAAGGGGGGTGGGGGGAGTGTACTAGGGGTGAAGTGGTGTACCTACAACAAGACTAATAATGATGTACAACTGTAATTTCACAAGGATGTTAACTTTCATAACCTTAATTAAAAAAAAATCTTTTCCCTACCAAAAAAAAAAAAAAAAAGTTCCAGAATTAGATAGTGGTGACAGCTGGACAACCTTTATGAATATACTAAATATGGCATGTGAATTACATTTCAATTTTTTAAAATGTGATGGCTAAACACAAAGATTTCTGCATTCCTAACATAAAGCCTCATTGATATAAAGCAAATCAGGTGTTTTACACGTGAGCCTTTTAAAGGGCCTGGTGATAATAATGAAAGAGTACCTTTAAACACGCCAATGGCTTACCACTGTAACAAGAGTAAAACACAAACTCCTTCACATGGTGTACAAGGTCCTACACGATCAGGCTCTCTAATCTCATCTTGTCCCATGCCCTCACTCACTGTACTCCAGCCACATCAGCCTCTTCCTCCCCCAAACATACCCCAGTGAGTTGGTTCCTTTCTCAGGACTTCTGCAGTTGTTCCTTCTAATTGAAATGCTCTTATCTTAAACCTTCAGATAGTTCTCTCTGATCATTCATAAATCAGTTGAGAAGTTATCTCTTTAAAGAAGCCATATTTATTTATTTGTTTACAGGCTTACACATCTCCTCCCTCCATGAGAATGTACATTCCATAGGGCAGGAACCCTGTCTATCTACAACAGTATCTGGTACACAGGATGCATTCAATTAACATTTATTGAGGGGCCAGCCCGATGGTCGAGTGGTTAAGTTCGTGCGTGCAATGTTTTGGCGGCCCGAGGTTTCACCAGTTTGAATCCTGGGAGCGGACATAGCACCACTCATCAGGCCATGCTGAGGCAGCATCCCACATGTCACAACTAGAAGGACCCACAACTAAAAATACACAACTTTGTACCAGGGGCTTTGGGAGAAAAAGGAAAAACTAAAAAATCTTAAAAAATAAAACCCAAAAAACATTTGTTGAATGAATGAACTACTCAAAGACTGATGAAGAGTAGATTAATAATCCTGAGTACAATGTGACCCAGTGAGGGCAAGGATCTTATGCGATACACTGTTGTATTCCTTCACTCCACAAAGTGCTTTATTCTCAAAAATGTTTGCTAAAATGAACTTCCTTGAGTCCTCCAGATTTTTCTTTATAATCGTTTCAAAAAACCACACCCAGAATAAAAGACTCATCTAGAAAAATCTCTCCAACGTGCCAGAATGAGTCAATAACTTTCCTTTCTAATTGTAATTTTAGTAGGTTATTTGAATTGTAAACATTCTGCCTATCTCTTACCTTTAGCCACTTTCTGCTTTTCTTCAATTTAGAGAAGTTATATAAATTCCCTTTGTCAGATTTCGATTCTGTGTAAAGAAACATAAAGAAGAAAAAAATGAAAGGATGACCTCCCCAAAGAATCAACAGTCCAAAGAGGGATTTCATACCACACTGACCTGACTGTAGAACTCCATTCAGTGAGTATGTGTTTAACATTCCGGAATTGCTTGCTCCAGAAGTTTCACCAAGCAATGAATTTGGAGGTTCTTCCTTAACTTGTATTAAGGGATCCCCAGACTGGGGCAATAAAGGATTACTGTCATCCAGTCCATCTTCACTTTCATCACTATAAATTGAAGAATGATAAATCCACAATCACAGTTGACCCAGCAAAATAGTGTAATTTATGGTTAGTAGACTGAACACTTTACATAAGAAATTGATCTTCTGAATAAGTTGTGTTTTACTTCAAAGAAAGAAGAAAAAAATATCACACATACCAAAAATCACAAAATACTTTAACCCTAAAATCTACAGGAATAATAAGAATGAAAAATGTGGTCAAACATTATATTGGGCAGATGGAACAGCATACCTAGAAATATTCCTGTTGAAGATGGCAGACGTTTGCCGCAGGAAATGGTCCAGCCGGAGGGCCCTCTCCAGGCACTGAAGATAGAGGGGCTTTGCCAGCTCACTACAGCCGCCATCGTCCCCGGCACCCAACTCCGAGGCCATAGAACAAATCTGTCTTCATGCACAAGGATCTCTGATTGCACGGCTGCAGAACAGAGATAAGTAGTGAAAGATGAAAAGACCATTCATTCTCCCTTTGTCTTGCCTGCTTGCTATCAATGTTAAGAGAAATCAGACCTTCTAGAACACAAGACAAGAAGATAGCTCTCTACAGAAAAATCATGACAAAACTCTCATTAAGGTTTGCCTTCTGATGCAAAGGCAGAAGTCAAAAGGATGAGAAGAGCATCAAAATATAGAAATACAGTCATATGTCAAAATGAAAATTCATATTATACTTTCTTGAAATAGTACCTTAAAATGTATACCCATTTCTCTTTCACCCTACAATTAACAGCTACTTGGAACAACTATCCAAATCTATACCACAAGCTTACTATTGTACACCTACCTCATAGAGGTGCACTTCTTCTCCACACCACCTCCAAAACAGCTGCTCCCTTTTTCATTTTGTATTTACATTAATACATATGTATGAGGCATTCTATTTACAAGGGAACAGATATATTGGCAGAGTATTCTACAATCCTTAGTAAACATGCCATAAAGTATAAGATTTAGAAATGACTTAGAAAACAGGAGCAAAGAGAATAAAAGTGAATATGAGAAACATAGGTATAGCCTGAGCATTCTCTTTGGTACCTTATGTTGTTAAAGACAATGTTAGAGTCAGAATGTCTTCACTAGAGAAACAATCAATATAACAACCTTCCCCCCACCTGTCTTTCATGTAACATGTTCTGCCTTACAGCTTGCTATCTTTAAAGAGTTAAGGGGTTAAGCCAGGATCCAACACAGTCATGCGCTGCAAAACATTTTGGTCAATGACAGACCACACATACAACTGTGGTCCCCTAAGATTAGTACCAGATAGCCTAGGTGTGCAGTAGGCTATACCACCTAGGGTTTATGTAAGTACACTCTATGATGTTTGCACAATGACAAAATCGCCTAACGACGCATTTCTCAGAATGCGTAAAGAGTAAAACGTACCTCTGTCGTTAAGCAACTCACGACTGTGATGAGATAACACTGAGCAATTAGACCACCATCTGACATATAGTGAGCATTTGATGTATGGTCAATTATTTTTCAAAAGTTCATAATTTAACAAACTAAGGTGTAAGCTTTAAAGGAAACCAGGACATCTTTACCTTGCATTGTCTTCTTTTTATTAAGTTTTTGAGTTTCCTAATATAATCTTTCTACTTAAAAGAATGTTAAAAATTCCCCCAATTGATCTATAGATTCAACATAATCTCTAACAAAATCCCAACAGGCTTCTTCCTCTTCTTTTTTTTTTTTTTCCCAGAAATTGACAAACTGATTCTTAAATATCTACAGAAACACAAAGGAATCAGAATAGCCAAAATAATTTTGAAAAAGAAGAGAGTTGAATGACTTACACTTCCTGACTCTAAAACATATTATAAAGCTACAGTAATCAGGACAGTGTGGTATTGGCATAAGGATAATCACATAGACCAATGGGACAGACCTGAGAATCCAGAAACAAACTCTTACATTTACGGTCAGCTAATTTTCAATGAAGCTACCAAGGCAATTTCAACAGAGGAAAGAATAGCCTTTTCAACAAATTGCACTGGACAACTGGATATCCACACAGAAAAAGATGAATTTAAACCTTTACCACACATCATGCACAAAAAATAACTCAAAATGGATCAGAGACCTAAGAATAAAACCACAAACCATATAACTTCTACAAGAAAACACAGAAGAAAATCTTCATGACCTTGATTAAGCAAAAAAGTCTTTAGATATGGCACCAAAAGCACAATCCATAAAAAAACCCTGACAAATTGGACCATCAAAATCTAAACCTTTGCACTTCAAAAGATACCATTAAGAAAATGAAGACAAGCCACAGACTAGGAGAAAAATATCTGCAAGTCGTACATTTGATAAAGAACTTGTATACACAATATAAGAACTATTACAACTCAATAAGACAACTCAATCAAAAAATGGGCAAAGACTTTGAACAGACATTTCACCAAAGAAGATAGACAAATGGCTAACAGACACATGAATATGCTCAACATCAAAATATACAAGTTAAAATTACAGCAAGATACCACTTTATACCCACTAGAATGGCTATAATAAAAAAAGACAGATAATAACAATTGCTGGGAAGGATATAGAGAAACTGAAACCCTTATACATTGCTGGTAAAAATGTAAAATATTACAGTCACTATAAAAAATTTTGGCAGTTTCTTAAAAATTTGAATATAAAGTTACCGTATGACCCAGCACTTGCACTCCTAGTTGTCTAACTCAAGAGAAATAAAAACATATGTCCACCCAAAGCCTTTTTTGTTTTTGAGGAAGATTAGCCCTGAGCTAACTACTGCCATTCCTCCTCTTTTTGCTGAGGAAGACTGGCCCTGAGCTAACATCCATGCCCATCTTCCTCTACTTTATACGTGGGACGCCTACCACAGGATGGCTTTTGCCAAGTGGTGCCATGTCTGCACCTGGGATCCAAAGTGGCAAACCCCGGGCCGCTGAGAAGCAGAATGTGCGAACTTAACCGCTGCGCCACTGTGCTGGCCCCCATCCAAAGCCTTTTATGTGAATATTCACAGCGGTATTATTCATAATAATCAAAAAGTGAAACAATCCAAACGTCCATCAACTGGTTAATGGATAAACAAAATGTGGCATAGCCACACAATGGAATACTATTCAGGCAATAAAAATGAATAAACAATTGATACACGCAACTTGAATGGACCTCAAAAATGTTATGCTAAGTAAAAAAAAGCCAGATACAAAAGACCACATATTATATGATTTCACTTATATGAAATATCCAGAAAAGGAAACCTATAGAGATGGAAAGTAGATTAGTGGTTGGTTGGGGGTGCAAACGGGGACTGACTGTAAATGGGTACAGGAGATCTGTTTTAGGGGAATTGAAAATGTTTCCACATTGTGGTGATGGGTGCACAATTCTGTAAATTTACTAAAAATCATTGAACTGTCCATTTAAATGAGATGAATTTCATGGTATGTAAAATATCAGTCTTGGTAACACACTTAAAGAAAAGATAATGTTAAACAATACCTTTTAAAAGATTTCACTAAGTTCTACTTTTCAAAGTGAGACCTAACATGTACCCACTCCAGAAGATGTCAGAGAAACTTGGTTTTAAAAATACAGCAAAACTCTCTTAGAGAATACATATAATTCGTCTTGAGACATGTACATACAAATTAAAGCATACAAAACTGCCACTTGGCTCCTCCTAAGGTTTTATTACAAAATAATTGATCTCATGCTCTACTTATTTTGGCTGAGAATGAAAATTATCATTAATTTTATTCACACCTAATTAAGGAGGTGTGAAGGTATGACTACAAAGTAATACTGCATAATTCAAAAAGAACTAGCCATTTAAAAAGATAATTCCTCAGTAACTAGGCTGTACATGAACATGAAGTCAAAACCAATTTGTCCAGGAAAGATCAGTCACTTCTAAGGTCTCATGGCGCTCACATATGCCTCCTTGTGACACCCAGTACACATCAATCCTGTAGTCAGATTCTCCTAGAATCACCTTTGTAGCATATCCCCAAGATGGCTGAAACGGCAACCAGGACATACTCCCTTATTTCCACACGGCTAAAAGGAGGGGCTACAAGCATGAAGTTCTTGACCTATCTCCACAAGAAGTCATCTTATGACGATATCTAGAGTCAAGGAATATTTTTAAAGTGTTCAATTAGATGATTTTTATTGTGGTAAAATATGCGTAACCTAAATTACCATTTTAATCATTTTGAGGTGTACAGTTCAGGAGCATTAAGTTCATTCACATTGTTGTGCCAAACATCACCACCATCCTAAATTATTTTTTTAATTGCCTTTAAGACTGGTGGCCTCTCTTTTCAACCCAGACACCCTAGCTAGTCTGTTAAAAGCTGCTAATCTAACCTGTATTTTCATCTACTACATTTGTCTTTCTCTCATTCTCTACAGGAAAATTACAGGGCCATGCTAACCTGACCCACCAGTTGTTATCCAACTTCAACACAGCACATGACATTTCTCAACAACTCTTTTACTCACCTCTTATCAATTGTTTCTCATTCTCTACAAAGACTATTTCAAACATTCTCCCTCTTCCTCAAAATACTGAACTCATTCCCCTTCACCTCTGGAGGGCCTGTGGAGCAAATCTCTCTCTTCTTTTTTATTCCACTGTTGCTCAGTTTTCCTCTTATTCTTTGTGGCATCTGAGTCACAAATACAAGTCAACTTTATCAGTCTACATTTGTAACTCTTCAGTTACGGTCACTCTGCCGGCTGGTGCAAAGATATCACTCCTTCAGGGGCAGTCCCGTGACCGAGTGGTAAGTTCACACGCTCCACTTTGGCAGCCCAGGGTTTCGCCGGTTAAGATCCTAGGTGTGGACACAGCACCGCTCATCAGGCAATGCTGAGGCAGTGTTCCATATGGCACAACTGGAGGGATGTACAACTAGAATATACAACTATGTACTGAGGGCCTTTGGGGTAAAGGAGAAAAAAAAAGATACAACTACTTCATTATGTTATCTACTGTGTGTCATGCCCATACATTCACATCTTAACATACATATTATGTTATTATAAGGTACTTTATGTTTTTTCAATATATCACAAATAGGGCATCATACTGCTTTTACAATTTATTATATATATAATATTTTTAATATAAAAGAAGAGTTGGGTCTGAAAAGGTTTAGAAAATCACTCTCTCTCTGATCACTGTTTATCAGAATGAACGAACATAAGTCAACTTTGCTGATCAATTCTTGCTTCTGGATAGTTTCCATCTCTTTGACAACTTCTTAGAATATTCCTTCCTTTACCTCCTTGATTGAAATTTCTTTATTCTAAATGTGGAGTCTACCAAAGTTCTCTCATCCATCCTTACCCCTGAGAAAAATCTCATCTACTACCAGGACTTCAATTAATACTGGTATATGGGTGACTCTCTGGCCACCACTT